ATTCAGATGTGGTGTGTACCATTCCAGCAAGAAAAATTACATACAAGAATTTAATGTTTCTTTTGATATTAGTGTAGGCTTTGTAAGAGTTTTTTCCTTTAAAGTGTTAAATGGCTTTCACTGGTATGTTATATGTCAGCTTAAATAATTGATGATTACACTTCATATAATTTTTTTTAATACTAGGCTTGGAGAGAAATTAACCAAATTTTTCCCAGAAAAGGGGGGCCCCGGCCCCCTGGCCCCCCTCTAAATCCGCCTCTGACAGCAACATATTATTAATCATTTAAATTATATAAATAAATTATTATTTACCCCAAACACCACATTTTAGTAAGAGTTGTTTCATTAAAACGCACTCTGTATTCAGGGAAAGCACATTGAAAATAAAGTAGCCAGGCATCCATAGAAGGTAATTTAAAGTCCTGCATATGTTTTAATCATGTACAACTTAATATTTTACATCCATCCATATATAGTGGCAAATTCAAGTTGCCTTCCTTGGGTCCCATGTATATTTTGATGGAACTGCTCTTATATACTATCAGTTAAATTGGGAACATAATACAAATAAACTGTACCTCATTTGGAATTGTTATGTTAATTATAAAGCTTTGTGAACAACTGTAGGTCATCCTATAACCTTCAACAATCAGCATAGTAAGCTTGTTTAATTCCCAGAAAAAGGTATACGTTTAATTGCTGTATAAACTTAATAAAACTTGTCAGAGTTACAAAAAAAAGTAAGGAGTTTACTACCTGGTCAGGTCAAACTATAGAAAAAAAAATTGGTGCTTCTGTATTAAGTGTCCTGGTTTAAAAGAAGGCTTAAAGCTAACAGACTCAATATAAGACTCGTGGTTGGATCACATGTCTTCCAGAATATTTTTATTAGCAACTGGAATATAAACATTTGCTATCTATTCAGTATGTTATTCTTCCAATCAGGAACCTTCTTAACACATTTGTCTATCCTAATCCTAAAACAGAGAAAAAGTTCTTATACAAGAATAAATAATTAACTTTAAAATCTTTTGATCGAAATTGTTTATCAATGTTTATGTCGTGTTTAGTTACATTGTATAAAATCAAGAGGATAAGAAACATTGTATGTAAATTAATATTTTATTTTCAGGGATTAAAAAAGTATAGACTGGAACAAAACATCATTTCCCTTGGCTTAAGGAGATATGAAGATGTGTTCACCCTCAAAAAGTCATATTTCCCTCGGCAATACCCTCGGGAATATAAATTTTCTTGAGTGAAAATTTTTTCCATATCTCCCTCAGCCAAGGGAAATAAATGAATGCTAGTCGTTTCGTAACCTGGTCGTTTCATACCAGGTCGATAATCGTATCTGAGACGTTTCGTACATGGTGTAATTATATATATGGTTATAAAGTGTGTCTCTATTAGTTTTGTCTTAAGGTAGCACAATACAAAAGCAACTAAATTTTATCAACATTTCATTTTCAGTTGATTTTGTCACTTCTTAATATTCCAAAACCACAGAAGAAAAATACATGTCCATATCTTGCACTGTTAATGAGTTTTGATGATAATTAGGGCCCCGCCGAATGGTGGACGCCCTATAGTGATCAGTCTGTCCGTCCGTCCGTAACAAATTGTGTCCGCTCTATTCCTAGAGAACCGTTATGATTTCAAAGTTTATACTTCACATGTATATTAACCAACACCAGAGGGTGTGTCATGATGTATGTACAACTTCCCATGTCAAAGGTCAAGGTCCAAAACTTTGGTTTTAGTTGACAAAATATATTGAAAATAGTGGACGTCCTTGGTAACCATTCCCACTGAAAAACTTATTGAATATATAACAGAGAGTCAAGAACTTCACATAAAGAAATGTATTTTTTATCAGAAAGTACTGATATTTACAAACTATAAACAACTTGAACTCATTGTCAAACAGTGCAATAATGAAAAACTAAGTGGAAAGTTTTAAAATAGCATATATAAAAACAGAAAGCATGCAGGTAATTACTGTAAAGGATTTTAGCAACATGTAGCAGCACAGAAATAATTAGATGACAGAGTAAATGGGGGTTCGTAAATACCATGTCCAGATATGCCGTGCTCCCAATATAAACAGTGGCGTAGCTACACTTCTAATGATGAAATGCCGAGCGTAGCGAGGCAAAATTTTTTTTTGACCCTTTTAAGGGAGCTACCATTTGATTTTTATGGGAGGGCTAGGATGAAATTTGAAAAAAATAGGCAGGACAGGAGTTTTGAGTAAAAAAAAAGGCAGGATGAGATTATTTGCAAAAAAAAAAGGCAGGATGAGATTATTTGCAAAAAAAAAAGGCAGGATGACAATTTATGTAAAAAAAAAGTCAGGATAAACTAAAAAAAAAGGCAGGACCGAAAAGAGTGAAAAATAAAAAGGAAGGACCGAATAGAGGGGAAAATAAATAGGCAGGACAAAATTTTTCATCCTAGCCCCCCTTTCATATTTCCACTCAACAGAAGATAATACTCTATTACACTCTCATGAAAAAAAAAGTTCCACGGCAATATTATTTACCTACGAAAATATGTTTAACCCCACACGCCCCAGCCAATTAATAACATTGCTGAATAAAGGTACGGACCATTTTATTTGATAGGGCAGTCTGAGATATTTTAGAGAAAAAATTCTTACCCTGATTTTTGCCTTAAACAAAAATTCTTTTTTTTTTGGAAGGGGGGGGGGGGGGGTTGCATGTAAATCCCATATCTGACCGGAATGTCTGTTTCGCCGAACTGATATACTGAATACTTTTTTCAAGGCCCAACTGCAACATGCCTGCTGGGTGTCTTTATGTCTCCATTTGTCGACCGTCATTCACAACTTCGTTGTCATTTGATTTTCAGACTCATTCGTAGCCGTTGGTTGATTTGGAACCCCTCACTTCCCTTGTTGAGTGAAACATTTCACCAAACATTTGGATAAAAATTGCTTCTTTGTCTTTGTTCGTGTCGGTCGTATTATAAACTTCATTGAATAGCCGTATATCATGTTTACAACAAGTAATCTGTGAGGTTATGCTAACTAACCATACAACAAACGAGAATTTTCCATGTCCATTTTTTACTGACAAATCTCACATCAAATATATTAGTACATAGCTTTAGATCCATTCAATCATTTTATAATAGACAACTAATGGGGAGAATGCGGCACCAAGCTTACCGGCACTTTAACTATAAAATATACATACCCCACGTTAGGAACCGTCACTAAAAATGTGCATTTTACACTTATTTTATGTTTTGTAGCCAAAAAAAAAAGGTCCAAAAAATTTTACATACTACGCCCCCCCTTTCCAAAATCCTGGATCCGCCCCTGTTTAGTGTCAATGTCAAAATCAGAATGAACGTGCAGCAGTACAAGCTAAGAAAGTCTTTCTTGTCATTGTCCCATGGTCGATCTCAGATACGTTTTTACGTGTTTCAGAGCGCTGAAAGAGCGTTCAGCAATAGCGGTTGAGGGTGGCATGGTGAGAAGTATTTGCAGAATACAGAATATATTTGGGTAAGTTCTTTCGGCGTCATCTCCAATGTTGCACAGAGTTGGTCTGGTTTCTTAGATGGATAAATATCCTATCTTGCAACCCACCTTTAATTTCGAGAAGAAACTGATCTTTTGGTTGAATATCGGACTCGTAGGCGCGAAATATGCGAATTTGATGGTCCCGATTCAAACTTTTCAGATTGTTTGGAAGAAGCATCTAGGCAAGAAAACGTTCTTCCGAATTGACAAGACGATCTCGTAGTTCGTTTAGTAGATGGTATAAAAAAATTGTATATACAGTGTGACGAGCCAATAATCCTGGATACCGACAACAGCGGGATTCGCCCGATTACGTTGACGACCGGTAGGTCTTGGTTTCTATATATATATATATATAGTAACAGTCAATCGCACTCTTTCTTTTTTTGACTGTTATGATTTTTTAATAATGATTTTTTTTTTGCCATTTCGTTTGTGCACGCAAGTGCGTTGTTGCGTCAATTTTTTTATTTATTAAAGCACAAATTACACCCACAAGAGGGCCAAAGGCATGACAAGTACATGTAATAACAACAATATAATGATGACATTAAAATTTACATAAAAAATAAAAATAAACCAAAACATTAAACACAACAAATGACCTCAAGTGCCCCCTGTCCTCAGTTCCATAGACTGTTTAATAAAGGAGCCTAAAGATTTCACTTGCTGACTAGTGGTTGGATTTAGTATATATTTCATTTTATTATCAGAAAAATCTTTGTATTGAGTTTTTAAATCATTAAAAAAGACATGTCTTAAATCATCATTTATTTTACATATTAAAAAGAAATGTGATTCATCATCCAGAACTTTGCACTTATTACAAAGTCTTTGAGGGCGTGGAATATTTTTATATCTTCCAGTTTCAATAGTGAGGGAATGATCACTTATTCTAAATTTGCATATAAGTTTTCTTGTATCAAGATTAGGGTATGTCAAATAAAATTCTTGTTTATATTCAGCTTTTATATGCTTAAACAGAAGAAGTTTGCTATTTTGATCGAGAGATGATATTTTATTGTCATATATTTCTTTGTATCTTTGCTGAAATTCATTTTTATAGAATTTTTTACTGAAATTCTTACAGTCTCCGTTTTTGTTTTTAGTTACATCTTTGGGTTTACTAATATTATTATCGGACCTAATATGATTTACATATGAGTACCATGAGTATATACCTTGATCATGAAGTGATTTAGAAAGAGAGTAACACTCTTTAAGTAAATCAGATGAGTTTTCACTCAAAAGTCGGTCTTCATATAAAAGTGACTGTGTGGCAATGAAACAAAAAAGGGGAAATCTTCCTAATTCAGATCTAGAGTCAATGGTAGCTACGCCACTGTAAAGGAGGTTAATACGAGATATTTTTATCGAGACGACGGTTCTCGTTTCTGCAATCTGCAAAGAATCCCCCTTCCCATTATAACAAATGAAAGTCCCCTACATTTAAAGTGAAATGCTGTGTAAATAGACAGACTGTACGCGGAGCCGGAATACTTTAAATATATGAATAAGCTTGTTTATTGTTATGTTATGGATCAGGATGTTACACGTGTATTGACAGAAAGTCAACATCTGGGACAAGGATATTTCAAAAAAAAGAACGGTATGTCTATATATTCACTGTAATCATTGTACGACAATTCAAATTCAAGTATTCACGACTGGCTGTAAAAAAGATCTATTTATATTTGTATGAGGCAATTCCCACTGACCCAAAATATTTTGCTGATACACATTTTTTGATGAGGCTATATTGTCTATATTTGCCTCATTATGTTTTGTACATGTAAAGGAGTTACTACTGCAGTGAAAGTTTAATTCCTTTAAATTTTAATTATTTTTTTATTTTATTCTGTTATTAATTCCTGTTTAATAGGGAAAGCAGCAGGCTCTGTTTTTTAGCTCATTTTTGTATCATCAATTACAAACAGCCAAAAATTCCCACCAGAATATAACATTTACCCACATCTAAAAGTACAGAATGGAAAATAAAACAGGAGGGGTTGTGGGGTGGACACCTTAATCATATATGAGGGTGGTAATTGTGATACCAACATGATGAATAATGGTAAAAAATCATTAAATGTAGCCAAATAACTTTAATAGTACTTTTTTTATCAGCATTTGATGTTAACAGTAAATTTTGGTGCATGACGATAAAACTGTACATGGTCTCATGTGGTTGGTTAAGATATTAGTGTTGTTTAATGATCCGAGGACTATATACAATGTGGTAAAAATTTAAAGGTACATCAAGGTAAAATGTAAGTGTATTTATTGTAGATTTATAATAAATTATACAGAAACATTTAAAGTCTATGCATAATATATAAAATGAGGAGATATGGTACGATCCAGAACATTATTAAAGGACATGACCAGGCAAGGATGTTAACAGCTACAGGTCACATAGATTCCAGATCTGTTGTGTTTGCTACAGGTCTGAACACCTTCGTCTTCTTCATCCTCCGTCTTTGTCGTCCGTTAACTTTTACAATTCTTCTCCTCTGCAACTACTGGGCCAAATTTAACCAAACTTGGACAATCATTATTAGAGTATCAAATTTAAAAAAGGGGACCGATGACTCTGCCTGTCAACCAAGATGGCTGACATGGCTAAAAATAGAACATAGGGGTAAAATGTAAGTTTTGCCTATTATTTCAAAAACCGCTATGAATAGAGAAAATGAGATTGGGACAAAAACATTCAGAATGTTGAGATACCTATTGTCTATTTACGTTAAAACTGTCAGACAACTTTTTTTAGGAGTTATTGCCCTTAAATTTGTCATTTAAGGGCAATAACTCATAATAGATTTTACCATTTTTGAAAATTTTTGCCTAAAATTATGATAGAAAGGTAGAAACTATAAAGGGCAAAAACGATCAGTAAGACAAGATCTACAAATAAGTCAACATGACCAAAATAGTCAGACAACTCCTAATTAGAGTTATTGCCCTTAAATGACGATTTTTACCAATTTTTTGCGTTGTATTGTCTAATATCTTAAAAACTAAAATAGATAGATAGAATCTTTAAAGGCAAAAATGATCAGCATGGCAAGATTTACTAATAAGTCAGCACGACCAAAATCGTCAGAGGACTCCTTATTAGAGTAGTTGCCCTTTAATGCCGATTTTTACCAATTTTTTTCATATGTGCTCAATATCTCAAAAACAATAATAGATAGATAGAATCATTAAAAAGCAAAAGTTATCAGCAAGACAAGATCTACAAATAAGTCAACATAACCAAAATCGTTAGTCCACCCTTATTGAAGTTATTGCCCTTCAATGACGATTTTCCTCATTTTTTACCTATTATCTTGAAAACTGAAATAGAAATGACTCTAGAATATATTCAAGAAAGCAGTACAAACCAACATATACCTGTACATGTACCTATCCAAAATAAGCAAGGCCTAGGACAAAAATCCATGGATATACCAGGAAATAAAAAAAAAATTGTGGAGTATATAGACTAGGCATACAAAAAATGATAATAAAAAAAAACAAGCCATGCTACTGATATCAAAAGAGTGAATCAACTCAGTGCCAGATCAAGGGGTTTTGGGGGTGGGGGGTGGGGATTGGAACCCCCCCTTTTTTTGATAATCAATGTTTTTAAATGGGGACATATGGTTGGAACCTCCCTTTTAAAAATGGCTAGATCCACCCCTGCAACTGAAGCAAACTATTTAAATGAAATCAAGCCAAGCTTATTGAAAATATATAGAGAACATAATTATCCAGAAGATAATGAAGACTTCACTAACACATGACTAACAAACAGATTTTGGACATCAGTAATTGATAAAGATGGAAATTTGATAATGATCCAATAAATAAAGCAAATACACAAAACAATCAATTCAAATAGGTTTGCTGTATCTATGATCATTAAAACAAAACTTGACAGAAAAAAAACTCATGACAGATCTACCAGAAAAATATCTTAACATCACTAATGATTGAGTGGAAAACAACTGTGTCATCTTAACCAACACAAGTTAAGACTGCTGGATCAGACAACTTCAAAATATGATACTGAAAGAACTAGCTAGTGAAATTGCTCAGATCCTAACCATTTTGTTTACAATTTTTCAAAGGAGAAAGGAAAGATATTCAATCACTTGCAAACTACAAATGTCATACAAAATGTACATGCATTTGTCGTAAAATAATAAAACATATAATCAATCACCAGTAACAGCATGAAGCATGCAGAGGCGAGTAACATCCAATATCCTCTTCCATATAGCTTTAGGAGTAAAAGATCATGTGAAAAACAGCTCCTTGAATGAATTGACGATATCACAAAAAATCTGGAAAATGAAAAACAATCAGATCTACTAATTCTAGACATCTCTTAAGCTTTTGACAAGGTGTCCAACATCCTGCTCCACATAAACTACACCATTATGGCAATCAGAAGTAAGACAAACAAATGGATAGATAACTTCTCATAAATAGAACATAAGTAATAGTGGTCTACGGCAAAACCAATCTAAATGGAATTGGATCTCTATCTTGCACTAGTTTACTGATATATTGCCCATCAGAGCTCACAAGCACAACATATCAGTAAACTAGTGCAAGTGAGAGATCTGATTTTAATTAGATTTAGGAGAAGTATAAGACAAATTGAAAGCAGAATCTCGAGTACCACAAGGATCAGTTTAAGGACCAAGTCAATTTCTTTTTTTTTATATAAACTACTTACCACAAAGCCTCTTCTCAACAGTGAGACTGTTACAGTAGTCTATTTGACCATTTCCTCTGATAAGTTTAACAACTGCCATAAACTCTATGATGACCTGCACAAACTGGAAAAATTGAAAAACATATATGATTGCACAATATTCTACATCTGAATTCCAAAAATCAGAAGCCTGTAATTCAGTGGTTGTCCTTGGTTCTGGTCTGCCATATTTGATTTTCATTTAGTAATTTCAGCATAAATCAGGCAGCATGTTTTCTCATTGAATTGTTTCTCATCTTGTCTTGCCCAGGCTTATAATAGAGAAAAAGTTAACAAACATAAGTGATCAACAAGATCTTCAAATGTACAAATAAGTCAAATCATCCAAATTGTCAATTTACGCCTTATACATGTAGGAATTATTGCCTTTAAAGATGACTTTTACCATTTTTTTGCTCATGTGTCTATTATCTTTAGAACTATAATAGATAGAGAGGAATTTTTAAGTAGCAAATATGATCAGCAACTACAACTATATTATGAAAGCAGCAAGATAAGATCTACTAAGCCAACACAGCTGAAATATCCAGTCGACTCCATTTAGGAGTTCAATAATTGTTCTTGCATGACCAATTTTTTTCAAGTTTACATATACATTTAACTTGAAAACTATAATAGATATAAAGATAAACTTTTCAAAAATGATCAGCAGCTCCCAACTGAATTATTAAAGTTGCAAGATAAGATCTCTTAATACAACACAGCTAATATAGCCAGTTGACTCCATTTAGGAGTTATTGATCTTAAACAACCAATTATTTTTCAATTTTCAAATACTTGTAACCTTGAAAACTATAATGGATATAGAGAATCTTTAAACAGCAAAAATGATTTGAAATCTTAAATCCATCAATAATTCAACATGACCAAATTGTCAGCTCCTAATTATAATGAAAATTTATATACCCCCAGAACCAGTGAAAGATATATGTTATTAACACTAATGTATTACTTTAAATGGGGATTTTTACCCATTTTTTTATTTTGAGCATTATTATATTCATTGTATATAGTATATATATACCTAAAGAGAAATTTCAAACAGCTAAAATAATCACCAAGACCAGATGACATCATAAACAGCCTGAGAAACTCTAAGGACCTTGTGCATAAGTCCGTTTCTCAGATAATTATAATACTGTAAATTCAGAAATTATTGCGTGCATTTATTATTGCGATTTTTGAAGAATGGACATAAATGCGAGATTAATTATTGCGATTTCAGGAAAAGATGCATACAGATATATGCATCAGATATCAGAATGCGAGTTCTTATTATTGCGATACTCACACAGTCGCATTATTCACATTCATAAAAACCTTGCAATAATTTCTGAATTTACAGTAATCAATAGGCCAATATAACAATAAGGAGATGTGTTACGATTGCCAATGAGACAACTATCAACCACAGTTCAAATGATGAAAATACAGCAATTATAGGTCACAGTACAGCCTTCAACAAATGAGAAAAATCCATACTGTATTGTCAGCTATAAAAAAAATGTACTATATTTGATGTATGCATGTATGGTATGATTGTAAGATGTACATGTCTGTCTGGCAGGTATCATATAACCCTGATCTCTTTTTGTTTGTTCATTGGTAATGTTAAGTTTTCATGGTTGGGTCTGTTTCTATAAGCAATAGTATACATATAGGTTAACTATTTTTGGTGAATGGAATTATTGTAAGGCGAAAATGTTGGTCTGGAAGGGTTCATTTGACTTCAACCTGATTAACATGGATCATTTTTAACAACAAGTTTTTTTGATATTTTTAACCTATATCTAAAAGACTTTCAACATGAAAAAAATCATGATTAGTAATGTAGGTAAGACATTGACAGCTTGTGCACTCTTGTTCAATAATAAGATCTATGCCAATGGCATTTATTGTTCTTAAAATCTTTATTGCAATACATGAAAAATTACCTACTTAGTACATGGAAAAACTATGTACATGTAAGCTGAAACTTAGACATGTAAGAAGGGCAAATTGATTGAACAAGGAGTTGTAAATAAGGGAGCTACCATTTGATTTTTATGGGGGGGGGGGGGGGGGGGGGGCAGGGCTAGGATGAAATTTGAAAAAAATATGCAGGACAGGAGTTTTGAGTAAAAAAAAAAGGCAGGATGAGACACTTTGCAAAAAAAAAAGGCAGGACCGAATAGAGTGAAAAATAAAAAGGCAGGACAGAGATTACAACTAAAAAAAAATGCAGGACAAAATTTTTCATCCTAGCCCCCCCCCCCCCCCCCCATAAAAATCAAATGGCAGCTCCCTAAGTGCTATTTAAAAAAGAAAGAAGAATAGCATGCCTGACAAAAGAAAAGAAACAGGCCAAATACATTTTAATAGTGAAATAATGAAGAAAAAATAGTTGTCTATATATTAAAGCTTAAGGGAACGTCCATTTAACTTCAAGGGGGGGGTTATGGTTTTTTCCTAAAAAAATGTTCTGATCCCTAATTTGATGAAAAAAAATATTCTGTTCATGCAAAGGACAAAAAAAAGATATTCTGAATCCAGATTTCCCCTATATCTCATAGTGTTAAATTTTGAAAAAAATAATTTGATTGATAGCGTTGAAAACTAAATAAAATTGTTTGTGCAAAGCGCGAAAACATTTTTCTGACTCAGACAAAAAACCATAACCCCCCTTGAAATATGGTTGCTCCCTAACTGGTTGAAAAATTACAATGTCATTTTTAATATAAAAGTTTCATTTGAAAAAAAAATATATTTCATGTGATTACAATTATAGATTTATAGATATCACAGTTTAAATGTTTCAATTTCATTTTCCAGGTTTTTATTTTATAAAAGATTTCAGGAATATCATGATTATATATACATAGACATGATAGAATGATTCTGTTTTACTGACATATTGACAGCATATGTTTTCTTTGAACTGTCATTATACACATGTACCTCACATCTGAAAAAAAAACCATCCATCATTATTAGTATTTTACCTGTAGTTACTGTAGTAACCTTTAAATTTAACCCTTATGGGTTAACTGATTTTTATCTTTTATAACATCTTGTTCATGTAAGTTCTAGTGCAATTTGAAATGAAAAGAAATGAACATTGTTCAATATTAAGTAAAAGGTGGTATGTAAGACCTACAATGTATTGTTTACTATATAAAAGTTCTTTTTTGGGGAGGGGAGTTTATTTGGGGTTTTCCTTTTCAATATTTGGTGTCCTATTTCATCAAATACATTTTCAGATGCTTCAATATCCCCTTTTTTCTCTATTTTGTTTTCTTATGTAAAGTTTTGAACAAAGAGTCAAAAAAATTTAGTTCAAGCTTATAAACTCCTAGGCCTATCTATCAGGCCTAACAGATAGAGGATTATTGCATGCAGTGCTAGCAATGATTTCCTTAAAACAAGTATATAAATAAAGATATCGGTCAAAGCAAGTATATAAATGGACTTAGAATTGGATGGAGAGTTGTCTCAATGGCACTCATACCACATCTTATATCTAATTATTTAAGTAAACCTTCTAGGGTGCACTCGACTTATGTGACTCAGCACAAGGTTTTTTGGATTGTAAAGGTTGTTTAGGACTTTTTGTAGACAATAAATGCTAGCACAACATAGACAAACAAGTGAGTAAATTATGTATGAAAATCTCGTTGATAAAGTCTGTGGGTTTTTTTGCAAAAATCTTGGCTTTATTTGCCACCAAATCCCCTGTTTCCTTTAAATGCAATAAAATATTCAACAGTATTGCTTTGAACAATGTATGCTTTTGGTGTATGTACAAAATGGCACATCACTTTTATTCTGTATTTTTACGGTATTTATAAATATCAGTGGTGTAGCTAAGCCATTTTTAAGTGTACGCCCGAACCTCGGCGAGGGGTTTGAGGGTCCCCAGCGGGTACAGGGCAAGGGAATTCCCAGCAGGGTCCGACGGAAGCTAACGATTTATTAAGAGAGAGATACTATTTCTGTCATTAAAACTCATCAATAGCAACATACTAGTACTTTAAAGTCTTATTTCTTGATTTTTTCATGTATAATTTATTCAGTGTGTTGATTTGGAATCTAATGGCCAATAGTTGTTACTATGAAATATGTTTAAAAGGAGATGTGGGGTAAAACAATCAATCGACCAAAGGCAAAGATCCAAACCTTTCGAAATATAAAAAAAGCAAGTCTACATTTTCAATGGTGTCGTTCTTTTGATTATTATGACTTAATCTAGTTTTCTCCCATTTTATGCGCAAATTTCGTTAATGGACAAGTACATACAATAATAAATCTTCATAGATGGTCATGTGTGATATAAACATACTCAAAGGGTTCCGTGGAATCCTGTGCTTCGCCTGGGATTGCTGCTGTCGGTTAAACTATAAAAAGTGAATCCAATTATCAGTCAAATACATGATTTAAAAGAAATCAAACTTTTCTTTAAATGTTTTTCTTGATCTTCGAAGATAAGCTTCTGTCCAAGTTTCATAACAATCTATGAAAGTTTACAAATGTAGCAGGTGAAAAATATCTAATTCAAGACCGTCTGCTAATTGCCCCGAAAAATGGTAAACTTTCATAGATTGTTATGAAACTTGGACAGAAGCTTATCTTCGAAGATCAAGAAAAACATTTAAAGAAAAGTTTGATTTCTTTTAAATCATGTATTTGACTGATAAAATAATAAAATAATAAAATACTGAAAAATTTTTTTTAGACAGAAATTTGCTGACTGTTGTAAAAGTTTTGAAATCATTTAAAAATAAAGGAATATATCTCCCCCATGCAAAGCTCTGATTCTTTGTCCGGAATTAGCTATACTTTATGTACGTTTTATTTTGATCAGCTCTTCCAATGTTTTTATTAGGTTTTGGATTTTCAAATATTTCGGCCTCGAGCATCACCGATGAGACATTAATTGTCGAAATGCACATCTGGTGCAAAAAAAAATCGTACAGTTGGTGTTAACATTTTTACATAAAATTCGATGAAGTTTTGAAAAGTAATTGATGCGTAACAAACAGTATCTACTTGTTAACTAATAAAAACAATGTTATTTTCAGTAAAATGTGGAAAAATTAAAAGTAAATTTTCATAATTATGCTCTGGATACTCTTTTGATCATAAAAAAGTTTCTGCCTATATTCTGTAAAATTTCATAAAGGTTTTACAAATTCATTGATGTTTTAAAAAAAATTTAACCACAGGCTGAACATAAATATTGACGACGCCAACGCCGATTACGGAATGTCTCGCAGGCTCAACAAAACTGCATATCGTATCTCAGCAGATAATGAATTGCTTTAAACTATAGGAAAGGGAGGATCATTCACAGTAGATTCAGATTTTGACAGAAAACGAACAAATAAATAGTATGATACCATTTGAACAAAAAGTAAATTTCTTCCTACTGTTATCTTCAATTACAAGTCAGTGGAGAAAGAACTACAAGGCTCATGTGCTTTTAGCCAGATCTTTTAATTTATTTAGATTAAAATATTTTTTCTCCAAAATTCATATGTACGCCCGGGCGTTTTGACGTAAACGTAGCTACGCGCCTGAAAATTGTTGGACTTTGAAAATTTCGTAATACAAAGGCCTACATGAGAAGGGGTCATCAACCTTAAAGAATAATGTATCAGTTAGTTCTTAAACATTCATTATTGCTATTTTCTTTTGCAGAGATTTGAAAAAAGGTATCATTCAGTCATCAATAGTCATAGAATTTTGAGAACTAAATATTAGTTCTTGAATTCCTTTCAAATATGAAGAAAGAGAAGCAAGAAAATGATGTTTCAGAAGAGAAAGCTCAAAGTAAACTTGCCAAAGGACAGGAAAACAAAAGACTATTTGTACTGTTCTTTTCACTTGTCCTAGACCTTTTATCTTTCACCTTAATTTTGCCATTGTTACCCTCATTGTTGGACTATTACGGTGAACATGACAAGGTAAGATTCATCTAAAATTTCAAAATAAATTTCAAAATATTTTATATCAAAGGAAAATGAATATTGATTTGTATTTCCTTATAGGTCAATTGATCCCCAGTTTCAAATTAGGACATATTATTTCTTTAATTAATAAAAGTACTGACATACTGTTTAACTCGGATGAACCCAAAATCTAATGGCTGGCAAATAAATTATTCAGATTTCCATCTCCTTGTAGACTACTAGAAAACACTTGCAGTAGCTTTCTCGACTGTCAAACATTTCAGCCACACGTAAGACGATAACATAATAGTATTTAACATTTAATCAATTCAATGGCAAGGTTCTGTTGGCACTGATGGTCGAAACAGACAACTGGAAAAAATGTGCTTTGAACTGTCTTAAGACTGGATAATACATTCAATGAATGTTCCTATTTTGATCAGCCGTGATTATGTATAAAACTGGCACCCTTCCCCAATACGAAACTAGAGATGTTTAAGTAGATATAAGAAGATGTGGTATGAGTGCCAATGAGACAACTCTCCATCCAAGTCAAAATTTATAAAAGTAAACCATTATAGGTCAAAGTACGGTCTTCAACATGGAGCCTTGGCTCACACCGAACAGCAAGCTATAAAGGGCCCCAAAAATTACTAGTGTAAAACCATTCAAACGGGAAAACCAACGGTCTAATCTATATAAAAAATGAGAAACGAGAAACACTTATGAACCACATCAACAAACGACAACTACTGAACATCAGATTCCTGACTTAGGACAAGTGCAAACAGCCATGAAATTTTCAGCCGAAACCTAACAACCCATTGTAAGGTTGCTGCCACTAAATTGGTAATTTTAAGGAAATTTTTTAGTTTTTGGTGATTATCTTGAATATTATTGAAGATAAAGATAAATTGCATCATATCTAATTTTAGAGTATTTAGTCATTCCTGGTTGTTTATTATGATTATTGATTATATGAATTTGAGTTATTATATGAATTTTGAGTTATTTCCCTTTAAACAGAAATGAGTATTTCATAAAAATTTAATTCTTGGGGTTCTTTGATATGCTAATTCTTACAATATACTTAGATTTTGAATATTGAACCATAATAGGTAAATGTCTAATTTCAAATTTTTCAGTTCTTTGACTTCATTCATTTTTTTTATTTATTTACAAAATGCCATGTCATTAATTTCCACTGAATAGAGCAAGTTTTAATGTTCCATCTGTTTTGTCTATTCTATTTTGATAATTAAATTTAGGAAAAATTCATATATAACTATGAAAAGAGGTAGACGATTCTGTTGTGAGTTGGAACATTCAAAATTCATGAGACGAAGAGAAACTGACAACGCCATGTCAAAAAACAAGAAACAGAAAAGTCCACAAAACACTACATAAAAGACTTAAGACTTAGCAACGCAAACCCCATAAAAAACTGGGGGTGATCTCATGTGCTCCAGAAGAGTGAGCAGATCCTTCTCCACTATATCTATGCTTTCAAATCTTAGAATCATTGAGAATAAACTTTGCATTTTAATACTTAATTTAGATCTTGACATATATAGCATAGACTACTCTCTTTTTTTGAATACATTATGTCTATTGTGTGAGTGCATTCATTTGCACGTATGAATTCAAATTAAGAGATTGGTTTGACTTTAAAACCAAAGAGGTAGTGCCAATTGCAATATCCCCTGAATTTATTTCACAGAAGGGCCATTTCAAAAGGTATGGAATGTCCATTTTTAATTAATAAAAAAATTTTACAGCTCCATGTGTGCACTTTTTTGAGAATCTTACGATATTTTATGGCTCATTCTAAGCAGTTCACCAAGTTCTATATGCATGACAAAAGTCCAAAACCACAAGTTTGACAGAATTTTCCAAATTATGAGTAATTTTGTCCAAAATGTAAAAGAAAGATATTGAAATAACATAAAACAAAAATTATGTTGAAAATAAAGTTGTCTGTTGCATATTATTTCATTTTGAATAGCTCCCTTTGATGCTTTTACAAAAGATTTAAGATTCATAATTTTGTATCAAAATCACTTCAAATTAGCAAAATTTAATGCCAAATTCCATATAGAAAATTGTTTGAATAAGTATAGGATAATCATATAGACTCGTCAATATTCGATTGACATTTTAGATTTTGACTCTGTGAGTGAAACATTTAATACAATCATGCATGTATAAAGGGGAAATTTGTTTATGTCTTTCCTTAACTCATACGCCCCCAAGAGATTTCTGGAAAATCAGGCATTTTCGAAAATTTGCAATCATATGCAAATTATATGCAAATTAGCAGACTCTTGATGCTGTAACTGATGCTCATCTTTTAAACTATGTATTGAGATTTGGGGGTGGATGGCATGGGTGGGGGGTGGGGTGGGAGATGGAATATTTTCTCGTGGGTTTGAACCCACCCCCACTGAAAAATGTTAATTTTCCGTCTATTTTCCGATTTTAAAACGACCTTGAGAGGTGAACATTGACCAGACTGTTTTTCTTTGTCATTCAAGTATTACCCTATAGTTACAGCAGTCCATTCATGCTAACTGGGAGTATATTGGACTTAAGTGTCTTGCTGGGGAATTATTATTGTCAAGTCAGGTCTGCCTACATGTCCGTTTTTACAGATTTTTGATAAAACGGTGATCTAGATTTTACAGACTAGATTCCTATTGGCCATATTATACCTCGTTGTGTTCCTGTACCACCTATGCATGCATTTATGATAATAGTTTATACCTACAGTCACTACCAGTTACGAAGTGGCCATCAAAAGATGCCCACCCCCACCTGATTTTGGCTACTTTTCACGTTTTTCCGATTTTGAACTCTTAAACGGCTTTCAAAGTGCCATATTTTCATGAACAGACATCTGAGAAGAGTTTATGGACCATGAACTGCTTGATTGAAGTCCCTGCTATCATGACAGTTCAGCTGGGGCAGTTCAAAAAAGGTATGGAGGGTCATACGGGCCATCAAAGAATGGTTGTCGCCATCACGCCTACAGGCGGGATTGGGAGCTAAAGGGTTAAGTCTTAATTCAATTTTCCATTAGTAATGCTAAAACATAGTGTTGACAGGCTATGACTTAAATTTGCACCTCAATGGCAAAATGGATTGGTATCCTGAAACCACCACTGGTGACATTTATGATTAAATATGTATCATTTTGTGAAACGAAATATTTAATTAATCTTTACAAGCTTTTGACAAAAACGAAATAAGGAAAGAGCAGTACTATATTACTTAGCTTTTACTTTAAATTATTTTATTAATAGTTATCAAACTTCCTTCTATAAATTAATGTAATAAGCAAGCTGTGTATTGGACTTGGTGTATTGTGTATACCGTATACCTATAAATAGATAGTAATGATGTACAATCATGATCATGGTGTTGTGTAGATAAATAAATATCATAAGTACTCACAATAGTGATACCAGTCATTGCAAGTCATGATATAACTCCTGAAAACTGGATTTAAAATTAAAAACATAACCACACAAAAATATTTTTGATACAGTTATATTAAAAAAAACCTTTGTACAAAATAAATGCATTCAATGTCCTGTATTAATCCCATTGTTGATCAAACTAGTTTAATGTTACCATAAGAAGTGATACCTGATCAATGATGTAACATAACAAGTGATGTAAGTACTTAATTATTCAAAAGGTAGATAACTTCGTACAATTACATACTTCATATTGTTATCAACAAGAAACATGCATATAAGTCATAAAAACCATATTTCTGAAGTTGAAATTAAGTAAATTTACATGCATCACAATATTTATAGGTCAGTTTATGGGGAACCAAATGTGATAATTCAATGATATTTAATATGCACTTGTAAAACAGATTATTTGGCCTTGCCCCCTCAATAATGTTCTATTGACTTTGAAACATTTGCATAGTTTATATGTTGAAATTTGTGATTAGGTCAGTTTAAGGGGAACCACTTGTGATAAGTCAATGATATTTGATATGCAGTTGTATAAGCATTGGCACATCTCATTACCATGCAGACTGTTTGGCCCTGCCCCCTCAGTCATGGTCTATTGACTTTGAAACTTTTGCATAGTGTATATGTTAAAGTTTGTGATTAGGTCAGTTTAAGGGGAACCACTTATGATAAGTCAATGATATTTTCTTTGCAGTTGTATTAGCGTTGGCATATCTTATATCTCAGAAATTGTTTGACACAGTTCCTTCAGTCTTGGTTCATTGACTTAGAGTTATTAACATGTTAAAGTATTGCTATTTTAATTTCAACATTTGCATTTTACTATAAAATTATATACAGGAAAGACATAGCTCTGTGTCAAAAGTTAATGTGGATTTTTAACCTTGTCAGGGTCAAACCCAAGGTTTGAAAATTGGTATTTGCTGTCTTTTTGCTCAGTAAGAGCAAAGACTGCTAGGCTCAGAGATAGAATAATGTATCTGGGAAGTCCATATCTGTTTGCAGACTTATTGTTAACCTTAAAAATATGGTGCAGTATGTCAGTTTAATACAAATTAGGGTTCCTATTCAAAATTAAGAGATATACTCTGAGTACATGCAAATTTTATGGTTGTACACATATTTTAACATGAATGTTTTGCTTGTACATCAAGAGACTTTTGAAGACATTATTCTTACAAATTATTTTTTTCAGGGAGGACTTTATAAAATTATAAAGGATTCTGTAACAGGATTTAGAGACTTTGTTGGAGCACCAGATAATCCTAGATGGAATTCTGTACTCTTTGGAGGTATATTTTTATAATAAAAAACTGAAGTCACAAAAGTGAGTGAAAAAATTAGCATAAGACATTGTTTGATATTTTATGGGAAAAGATTGTATAAAGCAATCAAATCCCTTTAAGTATATGGACAAAGGAAAATAAGTTACTGTTATTTTAAGATATAACCAATATAATAATAACTTTATTTGCAAATTACACATATATTCGTCAAACAAAATCACAAAATATAACACAGTTCAGAATTAACACATTAGTCAAGACATAAAACATAAATTAGTCATGATAATATGACATGGACTTCATTTATCCCAACATTAAAGATTGCTTTATACAGTCACCAACTGCTGACAATAGTTAAAATTCAGGATTTAAAAGCTGTTGTTGCTTGAAAAGTGGTTAATAATTTGTATGACCTGGTTTTATTTTATTTATTTTATAACTGATCTCTTAAAGTACCAAAATATGCTTCTTTTCTCAATACAATGCAAAAATTAATTTTAAGTTTATACTAGTAATGCAAAATTAAAAGCAATCTTTGCCCCCTTCAGTTCACAATGCAAATTGTAGGTAATCTTTACCACCTTCTGTGCTCTCAAGCGCTTCAAATTCATAAATTAATTACCAAATTTTATTTACGGTTGTCATTTTGACAAAACATGACGAAAATTTGATAAAAATTAGCTACTTCAACATCAAATTGGCTGGCAAAAAATTGAAAATGTATGAAAAAAATTGTTGTTACCATTTTATATGGAAAGCCTGATCAGCTGTCATATATTAGAGATTTAAAAAACGTCATGTTACTTTTAGCTTAAACCTAACATTTTGTATATCTCTTGTATATGATAGCTAAGGCTTTCCATAAGTTTACCTGTACCATTTCAAGTAAACATTTTCATTTGCGCCAAAACCAAGTTTTCATTTGCAAAAATTATTAATTTTTCGTTTACACCAATTTAATTTGAACAGGTAAGATCTGATACATTTTAGATAATTAATGTTACTTGTCCACGCTGATGCACTGTTCAAATTGGCATATAACATTTATGCCAATTTTGAAACATTATTTTTTTCATTTGCACCAAAACAAAGTTTGCATTTGCACCAATTATTAATTTTTTGTTTGCACCAATATAATTTGAACAGGTAAGATCTGATAGTGATACATTTTAGGCAATTACCGTTACTTAGATTAACCTAACATAGCAGGTAAGTGGTGTTCAATGAGTACATGTTCATGTTATATGTACCTGTATATACATACATGTTAAGCTCATTGATTAAAAAACTTCTGTTATAAGATGGATCTTTTGCATGCAGAAACAAACTGGGGAAATAAGTCGATAATCTTAGATGGACAATCTTATATACAATCAAACATTCTCAAAAATGGAAATATAGATCAAACATTTGTCTAAATTGGTTAAAAGTAAAAGTGTTTTATTTTTTTAATCCTAAATTTTGCTGATATAATTTTCTTCTTTATACATCATTTTCTTCCATTTATGTAGATTTTTATATCATTTCAATACTATAATAGTAAACCAAATACTCATTTCTTTATTTCAGGTGTCATTGGAAGTCTTTTTTCCTTCCTTCAGTTTTTAGCATCACCTTTAGTCGGTGCAACATCAGATGTGTATGGAAGAAAGCCTGTTTTATTGCTATCTTTGGTTAGTGGTTTATATTTCTATGTTATATACATCATATATCACAATAGTCATGGCAAAACTATTCAGTAATGTTGTCTCACCTCAACAAAGTTTAGATCCAGTTTGTAAACAAAATTAATTATCTATGAATATTCTATATCTCCCCAAAAGAGGCGTGGTTTGAGAAACAGCTGTATTTACAAAGTGCAACCTGGAAACGTTAATTATATGAAAAATTGCATCGTTAGCACTCTCATTTGTACAATTCTTGCCAGATTTTTATGAAACTTATGTCATAAGCTTATATCAGCAATATCTTTAACGAGTTCGAAAATCAGTGCCAATCAATTAATTTATACGACCGCAAAAATTAAAAATTTTTTGGTCGTATATTGGTATGACGTTGGCGTCGTCATCGTCGTCGTCGTCGTCCGAAGACACATTGGTTTTCGCACTCTAACTTTAGTTTAAGTGAATGGATCTCCATGAAATTTTACCATAAGGTTTGATACCACGAAAGGAAGGTTGGGATTGATTTTGGGGGTTATGGTACCAACAGTTAAGGAATAAGGGGCCGAAAAGGGGCCAAAAATAAGCATTTTTGTAACTTCCAGACAATAACTTGTGTGTAAGTGTATGGATCTCTCTGACATTGTACCACAAGGTTCCATATCACAAAGGGAAGGCTGTAATTGATTTTGGGGGTAATTGCCTCAAAATTTTAGGAATTAGGGGCCAAAAAAGGGGCAAAAAACAAGCATTTTTCTAGTTTCATGACAATAACTTGTGTGTTAGTGTTTGGATATTTCTGAAATTGTACTACAAGGTTCCATATCACAAAGGGAAAGCTGGAATTGAGTTTGGGGGTAATTGCCCTAAACGTTTAGGAATTGGGGGCCAAAAAGGGGCCAAAAATAAGCATTTTTCTAGTTTCCAGACAATAACTTGTGTTCAAGTGTATGGATCTCTCTGAAATTGTACTGCAAGGTACCATACCACAAAGGGAAGGCTGGGATTGAGTTTGGGGGTGATGATTCATAAGGGGGTTCAAAAAATTGGGGGGGGGGGGGGGGTTTCTTTTTTTTTTCTTTTAAAATTTTCCATTTTAAGTTGGTTATTTCTGATTTATATTTAAAAGCAAATAATAATGATATGGTAGGAGATACACACCAAACAGGATGTGTAAATTATTATATAATAAGTATTGTGCAATAGCAAGAAATTTTCAATTGTACAGTATTGCACAATAGCAAGAAATCTTCAATTGCACAGTATTGCGCAATAGCAAGAAATCTTCAATTGCACAGTATTGCGCAATAGCAAGAAATATCCAATAGCACAATATTGCGCAATAGCAAGAAATTGTCAATTGTACAGTATTGCGCAATAGCGAGAAATATTCAATTGCACAGTATTTTGCAAAAGAAGATACTTCGTATAAATTGCTTATTTCTTGATCAATTTCAATGGGGTTTTATTCTTGAAATCTTGGGGTTCTTTAATATTCTGAATCTAACCGTGTATTAAGTTTTTGGATTTTGGGCCCCGTTTTTAAATTGGTCCACATTGAGGTCCAAAGGGTCCAAAATTTAACTTTGTTTGATTTCATCAAAAATTGAATTATTGGGGTTCTTTGATATGCCGAATCTAACCGTGTATTTAGATTCTTAATTTTTGGTTCTGTTTTCAAATTGGTCTACATAAAGGTCCAAAGGGTCCAAAATTAAACTTAGTTTGATTTTAACAAAAATTGAATTTTTAGGGTTCTTTGATATGCTGAATCTAAACATGTATTTAGATTTTTGATTATGGGCCCAGTTTTCAAGTTGGTCCAAATCGGGGTCCAAAATTAAACTTTGTTTGATTTCAACAAAAATTGAATACATGGGGTTCTTTGATATGCTGAATCTAACCATGTATTTAGATTTTTGATTTTTGGGCCCCGTTATCAACTTTGTCCACATTGAGGTCAAAAGGGTCTAAAATAAAACTTTGTTTGATTTCATCAAAAATTGAATTCTTGGGGTTCTTTGATATGCTGAATCTAACCATGTATTTAGATTTTGGATATTGGACCATAATAGGTGAATGTCCAATTTAAAATTTTTAAGTTCTTAGACCACATTCATTCTGTGTCAGAAACCTATGCTGTGTCAAATATTTAATCACAATCCAAATTCAGAGCTGTATCAAGCTTGAATGTTGTGTCCATACTTGCCCCAACTGTTCAGGGTTCGACCTCTGCGGTCGTATCAAGCTGCGCCCTGCGGAGCATTTTATTTAAAAGAGTTATGCCCCTTGGAAACATTAATTATATGGAAAATTGCATCGTTAGTACTCTCGTTTGTACAATTCTTGCCAGATTTTTATAAAACTTATTTTGTAGGTTTATATCAGCAATGTTTGGACAAGTTGGAAAATCTGTGCTGATCAATTATTTTATAAAGAGTTATGCCCCTTGGAAATATTAATTATATGGAAAATTGCCTTGTGAGTGCTCTCATGTGTACAATTCTTGACAGAATTTTATGAAATTTATATTATAGGTTTATATCATCAATGTCTTGGATGAGTTCAAACATCTTTGCCAATCAATTATTTTTAAAAGAGTTATGCCCTTTGGAGATATTAATTTTATGGAAACTTGCATCGTTAGCACTCTCATATATGTACAATTCTTGCCAGAATTTTTTTGAAATTTATATCATAGGTTTATATCAGCAATGTCTTCGACACTTTCGAAAATAAGTGCAGATCAAAAATTTTGAATGAGTTATGACCCTTGGAAATATTAATTATATTGGAAATCACATTGAATTTTCTCTGAAGCATTCATTTCTCTTAAGATATTTATCAACAGTTTTAAAGAACAAAAACAAAAGTTTATTTTTTAGTTATTGCCCTTGATCCTTGGATAGATAAAATATGTGCAACTCGGGGGACATTGGAACTCTGTTACTTTATTAACTTGGAAAATAGCAAAGCTTGAGCAGGAGCATTCGTGTCCTCATACACATATAAGTTCTGTTTTTAATTGATATATGTTTATTTTTAACTAGATCATATCTGATAAATTATCTTCTAAAATTTACCTCAGGCTTTTAAAATTAATTTAGCACAATGTAAAACCTTTACTGTTATCACTTGGTGTCACAATTGAAATAACTATATTTCAGAATTATTTGTTTATACCATTGACCTTCAAAATTCTGTTTAATTACAATTTTTGACTACGGACAAAGAGTTGTGGCAAAATTACAGATAAAAATAAAAAAAAATATATTTAAAGTCAAATGATAATGAAGTATATCTTAGAGATATGTTTTACTGTTAAACATCATTTTCATAAAGAAGAATACATTCACATGACACATTAAAAAACATCTCCAATTTTGTACAAATCCTTTGCTATTCATTTGAAATGAATATCAATTGTTTCCTCACATAAACAAATGATTAAACTTTAGGCACAATATTCCCTAAGAAAAAAAATTGATTGCCATCCTTTTAAGACATTTTATGTTGTGATTCAAATTATTTGTGTTCTCGTTTTTCATAGGAAAACAGTTAAACAAAGGTAAACCAAGTAAACTTCATCATGCTTAATATATGGTTTTTTTTCTATAAATACTTATCTTGTTTTAAAAATGTAGAAATATATGTATGAAGCCAGAAGAACCTGGGTAATATTTGAAGTGATAAAACATGTCAAAGCTGCAAATAAAAATTCTAATTTTGTTGATAGAACTGGATTATTGATTTTTAATTTATTTTTGCAGGCAGGTGTTGCAGGATCTTATGCATTGTGGGCTGTATCACACAACTTTACATTGTTTGTTATAGCTAGAATTATAGGAGGATTAAGTAAAGGGAACGTCAGTCTATCCACTGCTATTGTTGCTGATATTTTACCCCAAGAAAAACGTGGCAAAGGAATGGTAAATTTATATAAATGTGTACTTATTTACCTTTAATACCGTGGTCCTACTTTCCGTCGATGGCTCATAGCAATGGCTAGTGCATCATAAGAGAGAAACAAACCCAGTGTTATTCAATAAGATTTAGTTTCTCGATCCAACTCCTTGCTTATATTCTGAAACTGTTGTAATATGGTGTAAAACATCAGTATACTAACAAAATGTTATTTATTTAACTTTCATTTAACATATCTTTAAATGAAAATAACAGTACAGAAACTATATTTAAACAAAAGAAAACTGTAGCTTGTGATTACCATTTATATAGCAGTTCAAGCTAAATGATCTGTTCTTATTGTCCGATTAAGTCAGGGATTATAATGTTTTGTGAATTAAAACATGTATTTTCATCTTTTAGAAGATAAGTTTTTTACTCAGGTAAATTATTCAATGAGTGATGGATTTCTCTTAGAAGAAATTTAAAGGTCCCAGTGAATAAACTATACAGAGAACAATAGCTATTGTATTTTTTCAATGGGACTATAGAACTGACAAAAGTTTCATTTGGTTCGCAATAAAAACAAGTTAAGTGAGATGCTTTTTACAGGTTTTTGTTTGACGCCAGTGTTGTATGTGAGAAAATTTAAGAATTAGAATTACTTTATTTTTTCACCATTAACATTATGAATTATATTTTAATCTCCTGTCATGTCATATATGAAAACAAATCACCCCAAGCAGTCGTGTGGTATTTGAAAGTTAAATAGAAGAAATAATTGTTTTAAAATTCACACAGAAAGTAATCTATGTACAATTGTTTGAACTCCAATTGATGATTGACATTTTTTTGAGAATGGGGTCTTGTTTTTGTCTCGCCTGCAACCAAAGTCACAGTTTACGTCGCAGTATTGTGAGACGTAGTGATTACTATCCAGCAGCAGTGGCGGTGGTGATGTTAACTATTTGTATAAAGATTTATATTTCAGAAGATAGAAGACCTGGATGCTTCATATCTTGTATACTGAAACATAATGTTCAGAATTTTAAGTCTGTCATATCTCCATAGTTCTTGAAAATTTTTGTTTTGTTTTTTTTTGTCATGTGAATTTTTCACTTATTATTAGTAATAGGATAACTATATTTGGTATAGGGATCCCTTGCAACATCTACATGTCCGTCAGACAGGGTTCATCTGACCTCGACCACATTTGTGGATCAGTGAATAAGGTTAAAGTTACATGATTAGTTCCGTTTCTCAGATACTATAAGCAGTAGGTCAATTTATATGTGGTGTATGGAATGATAGTAAGGGGTACATGTCAGTCTGGCAGGTTTCATCTGACCTTGTCCTCATTTCAATGGTTCATTGGTCAATGTTAATTTTTTGTCTCGCCTACGACGAAAGTCGCAGTATGCGACACATAGGTATTACTATCTGGTGGCGGTGGTGGCGGCCTAAACTATTTGTATAAAGCTTTACATTTCAGAAGGTAGAAGACCTGGATGCTTCATACCTTGTATGCAGATACCTCATGTTACAAAGTTTCTGTCTGTCATATGCCCATTGTCCTTGACCTCATTTTCATGGTTCAGTGACTGCTTGAAAAAATTCACTTATGAGTAATAGGATAACTACATTTGGTATATTGCAACGTCTTCATGTCCGTCAGACAGGGTTAACCTGACCTCGACCTCAGTTCATGGATCAGTGATCAAGGTTAAAGTTACGTGATTAGGTCCGTTTTTCAGATACTACAAGCAACAGGTCAACTATATGTGGTGTATGGAATGATTGTAAGGGGTACATGTCAGACTGGCAGGTTTAATCTGACCTTGACCTCATTTTCATGGTTGATTGGTAATTGTTAATTTTTTGTGTTTTGGTCTGTTTTTCAAGGGCTGTAAGTAATAGGTCAGTTATATTTGGTGTATGGAATGATTGTAAGGTGTGCATGTCTGTCTAGCCGGTGTCATCTGACCTTGACCTTATTTTGATGGTTCATTGGTCAATGTTAAGCATTTGTGTTTTGGTCTGTTTTTCAAGTACTATAAGCAGCAGGTCAACTATATTTGGTTTATGGAATGATTGAAAGGTGTACATGTCTGTCTAGCCGGTGTCATCTGACCTTGACCTCATTTTCATGAATCAATGGTCAATGTTAAGTTTTTGTGTTTTGGTCTGTTTTTCAAATACTAATAGAATAGGTCAACCATAATTGGTGTATGAGATGATTGTAAGGTGTACATGTCTGTCTAATCAGTATCATATGACCTTGACCTCATTTTCTTGGTTCATTGGTTAACATTAAGTTTTTGTGTTTTGGTCAGTTTTTCAATTACAATAAGCAATATGTCAACTATATTTGGTGTATGGAATAATTGTAAGGTGTACATGTATGTGTGACAGTTTTCATCTGACCTTGACCTTATTGTCATGGATCTTTATAAATGTCAGGTTTATGTGTTACTTGTAGTAAAACCTTTATATTTAAGACTTTCAACATAAAATTAATTGTCAGTAAAACAGGCGTGTGCACTCATGTTGTGTTTTGGTCTGATTTTCAAGTACTATAACCAATAGATCAACTATATTTGGTATATGGAATAATTGTAAGGTGTACATGTCTGTCTGGCTGGCATCATCTGACCTTGAACTCATTTTCATGGTTCATCGGCCAATATTAAGTTTGTGTTTTGGTCTTTTCAAATTTTGAATCAACCTTTTATTAATCAGCGCTCATTACTTTTAATGTAATGCTCTATTCATTACCTATTATTGAAAATTACAATTTCACACTATCTTGCTTTGTTTATTTGTTTACCGTTGTAAGAGATTATCGGCATGTGCTAGCATATGACAAATTTACCTGTAAATGCCTTTATATTGATTTTATTACTGTTGCAATCAAGAACTGAAAATCAACATAGGAATCTTTTGGCTCCAGAAACCTGTATTTTGTTGCCAGATAAAATAAAAAATCGCAATTTGCAGCTCAGTCCCTGATTAATAAAAACCTCACAATAATTTCTGAATTTACGGTACTATAATGAGTAAAGAAATCTAATTTACAGTTGCCGCCAATTTGAAGCATTATTCTGTCTAATGCCTATTTGTTATATTTCAGGCTTTAATTGGTGTAGCCTTTTCCATTGGTTTTGTATTTGGACCATTAATAGGAGCAGGATTCTCAATATGGGCCAGACATCAACATGGTGCATTTTACACAGTGCCAGCTCTCTTTGCTTTATCTTTAGCTGTGATTGATATTTTATTTGTCTTCATATTTTTTCAAGAAACACTGCCAGTTGAAAAAAGGGTAAGAATTGAAGTGAAAAGACACGTTTTTCAATGCTTATTGTAACCTTTTAATATCTTTACAAAGAAGAAATGCCATTATCTATGCATGTTTCTGCTTGTAACACATTTGTAAGCACTGCAGAAATTTAATTTTCCTTCAAATATGCTTTACAAATTGTCTAATGCTTGACCTTGTAGAGCCTGTATTTTTTTCAAGGTAGGATCTCAAATATCTACAGCCTCAGTGGTCTCTTGGTAGCACTCTCATGGTTTAATCACCAACAGGATTAATCAAATAATTGAAAATTAGTTTTTTTATGCTTCATCACTAAGCACATGTCATTTAGAAGTGAAAACAGAAACTGGTCAGCTCATAGTCAGAAAAATGTGCCAGAGTAGGGTGACTTGTCTTTCTGCAGACTGTTAAGTTGTGAACTAACATGTTATGTATACAAACCTACCCAAATTCTTTATGTGCCTGTCTCAAGTCAGGAGCCTGTAGTTCAGTTGTTATCATTGGTTCATGTCTGTCATATTTATTTTTCGTAAATTGTTTTGTTATGAATTAGGTTGTTATTTTTCGCAATTAAATTGTTTCATATTTTTCAACCTTTTATAACCGACTATACAGTATAAGTTTTTCTCATTGTTGAAGGCCGTATGGTTGCCTATAATTGCTTTCATCCACTTCATTTGAACTTGGGTGGGTAGGTGTCTCATTGGCAATCATACCACATCTCCTTATTTTTATATAACATTAACATGTTCTCGTCTCGATAGTCATGTGATAATTGCCACTGGACGTTAAACACCAATCCATCATCATCATCAATGGTAAATATCATGACAAGGTCACAATATGATTTTAGAAATTAAAGCCTATATGCACCATGCACCATTTAGGTACATTTCTCAAAATTTTTAATTAAGAAGAATATTAATACAAAATTATTGTAGTTGATAGCTTAGACATAAAACATGTAAATGTAAAGTCATTGCAAATGCTTGTCAATGAATGAATAAGATGTCTTTAGGTGTAATTTCTGCAAACTGATAGAATCTGTTGTAAAGTCATGAACTTAAGCTTGTAATACCTTATACATTTGAAATTGACAGGACTTATTATGGTATACTATTGTCCCTCTTTTGGTTCATCTGTCCATTCACTGTTCATCCCTTCACACATAATTTCAAATATCCTTCTCTAGCTGGTGTATGCTTGGATTGATTAATTGGAAACTTTACATACACTGTTGAGGAGATTGATTATAGTAAATGAAATAACACTTTTAACTTTGTGCTTCTGAAGCACTTTTCTTGATTTACCTTCATGGGGTGGACTCAAACCCAAACATATGAAAGCCAAGCTTCCATTCAAATTTGAAAGTTTTGTGGATTGTTGTCCCAGAATAAATGGACTCAAACTATCAATTGTGCACATGTTGTGCACTTACTTGAGTTTGTTCAGATTATTAATTGCGACTTTCCACAATTTTTTTGATAAGCTACTTATGAATTTTGAATATTTTATGCTTTGTCATTCCAGAGTTATGGGACTTAAAACATTTAGTTAAAGGCAATTTATGTACTACAAAGGATATTCTCCTACATTAGTTTTATCCTGCAGGGCAGTTTCATAGACATCTGATTAAATGCCCTCTACAAGATTCCATTTAATTCTTGCAAAAAAAATGTGCATGATGACCCTGTCTGTCAATCAACATGGCCAACATGGCTAAAAATCGAAAAATAGGGGTAACATGCAAGTTTTTAAATATCTTGAAAACCATTGATCAGTAAAATTGCAGAAATCATCAGTTGTCTCCTAATAGGAGTTATCTCCCTAAAATGATGATTTTTACCATTTTTTGGTAGTTTTTTCCTATTATTTTAAAAACTATTATAGATGGATAGAAACAAAAATGAGCAGCAAGACAAGTTTTGCAAATAGGTCAGCTAACATGCAGATGAATTTGTCAGTTGTCTTCTTATAGGGGGACCTCCATGGCAGAGTGGTCAAAGTAGTTTAACTACTGTATCACTAGTTTGTCAACACTGGTTGTGAGTTCGAACCCTGCCGTGGCAGGTGCTCTCAACTCAAATCTAAATCATCAAAGATTGTCAGTTTTCCTGCCGAAGGTCAGTGGTTTTTTCTGGGCTCTGGCTTCCCCCACAAGTAGAAACTGACTGCCATGAAATAGCTAATATTGCTGAAAGTGGCGCTAAACACCAAACAATCAATCAACAAATCTGCTTATAGGATTTCCCTTAAATGACGATTTTAACATTTGTTTGTGTTTTGGGTAAAAAATAGAGAAGATAGAGAGAAACTGTAAACAGAAAAAAAGAAGAGTAATATTCTAGTTTAAATAGTTGGAGAGACATGTCCATTGATTAAGATGCGCATAGACCTAGGTGAGCCACACAGGCTCTTTAGAGCCTCTAGTTATAAAATGGTTGTCTTTTTTCTATAAGGAGTGTTTCCAACTATTTAAAATATTTATATTAACAAGATAGAGTAATCATGCACATTTATCAAGGTTTCTCTATCTTTATACAGCACATATTTGGTGTAATTGCTTATTTTGGGCAGAAGGTTGTCAAAATTTACACTTATTTATTTTTCAGGCAAAATCTATAGCCAATGGATGGCAAGAAAAAGCACATTTGATTAACCCAGTTTCATTGTTCAAGTTTTCATCTGTAACAAATATGTCACAAAAAGGTAAACAATATTTATATTTATGTATCAATACATATAGAATAAATTGCTCAGTTGTGGATATTTAAAATATTCATAGATACTGTGTTTTGTTTGTCTACTGGTTCCTAAGATAACAACAACAAAATTTGTATATGTCAATCAAGACGCCCCGATGAGCAGAACAATTACAGTTTAAATTGAAGTGTACAAATGTTTGTGCTGATTTTTTTTATTGAAAAATTACAATCAACTAAAACTATATAGGAAAAGGGAGACAACAAACACTGTATTCCCAAAGATAATGAGTGAGTGATCACAATCAGTACAATTGTATTATTGGAGGAAGAGCTGGTGGGCCACTCATGTCTTATTACTTAATTTTGCTCTTCTTGTCTTCAGTAAACTATCTGTCAATTTTATCATTATATTATTAACTATTGGATCTTCGTTTGACTTTAACCATATAAATTTTGATTCATCATTTAAAAATTTAAAATTAGAAAATTTCGAAGATAAATCTAAAAGTAAACTGGACCTTTCAGTTCTACGTGATGGACATTGAAGAAGAAAATGAATTTCATCCTCAACAAGGTCATTGTTACATAATTTACAAATTCTTTTGTCTGGGGGTATTCCTTTGTGTCTTCCCTTTTCTATTTCACATTAATGGGCACTGATTTTAAATTGGTTAACTCATTTATTGTTTTACAATTTTTTAACAGTAAATATTTTTAAGACCAATATTAATTTTATCGTATATTGGTATCACATCGTTGTCGTCGTCGTCCGAAGACATTTGGTTTCCGGACAATAACTTTAGTAAATGTAAATAGAAATCTATGAAATTTAAACAAAAGGTTTATAACCACAAAAGGAAGGTTGGGGTTGATTTTGGGGGTTACAGTCCTAACAGTTTAGAAATTAGGGGCCAAAAAAACTTTTGTTTAATTTCATCAAAAATTGAATTCTTTGGTTCTTTGATATGCTGATTCTAACAATGTTTGAGTGTTAAATCTTATCTAATTTTAGAGAACTTAGTCATCACTGGTTGTTGTTATTATATTATTGATTATAATTTGAAAAATTGCATCATATCTTATTTTAGAGAACTATTTATCCAGTTTTAGTTATTTCCCTTTGCACAGAAAAGATTATGGATAAAATTAACCTGTGGTTTCATTTCAACATAAATTAAATATATATAGGGTTCTTTCAAAGGCTGAATCTAAACCTGTATTTAAATATTAGATTTTTGGGCCCAGTTTTCAAGTTGGTCCAAATCAGGGTCCAAAATTAAACTTTGTTTGATTCAACAAAAATTGAATTTATGGGGTTCTTTGGAATGCTGAATGTCCAATTTCAAATATTTCAGTTCTTTGACCACATTCATTTTGTGTCACAAACCTATGCTGTGTCAAATATTCAATCAAAATCCAAATTCAGAGCTGTTTTAAGCTTAAATGTAGTGTCCATACTTGCTCAACTGTTCAGGGTTCGACCTCTGCAGGAAAATCTGGTTTGCTGTCACTCTGACAGCCTCTTGTTTCACTTTTCAATGGAAAACTTGCATGTAGTTTTAGTCTCAACTGACATATATTTGAACCACATACTATCCTACAGAAGAAAATAAAGGTAGTATATAAAATGGATAAGGTGCACAGATCATTGTCAAGTGCTTTTTTACAGATTTAGTGAAATATTTATGATGGACTACACATTATATGTACAAAGCTCTTCACATTTCACATACATTAAACAGGCCGTTCGACCAGGGCCTAAATACAACACATTTTGCACATTTTTTCTGTGATAATCTACTTTTCTCTATATTCAGAGTTCACAAATGGTTAATAGAATTTGAATTAATCATAGAAACACAAATATCAAAGCATTGACAAATTGAAACCAGCAAACCATTCAGGGACGTTGCTAAAGTACAGAATCTACATTTCCTGAATTCATCTCTTAGGCTCCAGAACACAGTTATTTCGTAGTGCATTTCTTTTAGACAATAAAGTCAAATTAAAAAAATTGCACCAGCTCTATCTCAAAATGATTTTTACAGTGTAGTGTACTACTATTGGGACAAATAATATCAAAATTATAGAAAAGTCTACCAGCTCTAACTCGAAATATTGACAATTCTATGTTAAGGGGGTCTAAAATTCAGTTTGACAGCTTCAGACATACTAGTTTTTGACCTTTTTTAACTGGACCAAATCACTACTTAACATAAAGATTCAGCACCCAAATTTTTTTAACATGTAATTTCATCCCCTTACTTAATATTTCATGCATAAAATATTAAGAAATAAATTTGGAAAGTGTATGAAAAAAATTTGCAAGTTATATACTGTCCACACTAGGGACTATATTTGTAGACAACGAAAATCTAAGGACAATAACTGTGTCCTCGGACCTAATATTGTCTATTAATAAACATATATTTAGATTTCTGATTTTGGGCCCAGTTTTCAAGTTGGTCCAAATCGGGGTCCAAAATTTAACTGTGCTTGATTTCAACATAAATTGAATATATATAAGGTTCTTTGAAATGCTGAATCTAAACCTGTATTTATTTTCATTATTAATTAGATAATACCACATTGAGGTCCAAAGGGTCCTAAATTAAACTTTTGTTTGATTTCATCAAAAATTGAATTCTTGGGGTTCTTTGATATGCTGATTCTAACAATTTACTTAGATTTTGGATATTGGACCATAATAGGTAAATGTCCGATTTCAAATTTTTCAGTTCTTTGACCACATTCATTTTGTGTCACAAACCTATGCTGTGTCAAGTATTCAATCACAATCCAAATTCAGAGCTGTTTTAAGCTTAAATGTTGTATCCATACTTGCTCAACTGTTCTGGGTATGACCTCTGCAGGAAAATCTGGTTTGCTGTCACTCTGACAGCCTCTTGTTGATATATTGTCTAATTTATCATGAGTATGGGGATGTATATCATTGTAGTCATTACTATGTACTTTAAATATCATTCTCTGTTAGGTTAAGTATCTTTATATTTCATTGGTTCTAAATGTCTACTGTTCCAGTTTCTACTCTTAGTATAGAATATTATATTACACAGTAATAAAATTGCACAGGGTATTTTACTCCAGAGTAATGATAATGTTCTCTGGAAAGAAAAGTAGGAACATACTGTACTTATTTTTTAGACAAAACATGGCCAGGGTTGACGATTTTGATAGCTAAGAAAATTTCACAGTTTTTCATATGTTATTATATACAGGTAACAAATAAAATCCAATGTCAGTATTTTTTAATCAATTTATGTATACATGTATAAACAATTACATATATTTTTTTTCTCCTTTCAGATAATCAAACAATGCAGAGAATTGGTGTAATATACTTCCTGTACCTTTTTTTTTACTCTGGACTAGAATTTACATTGACATTCCTTACTCATAACAGATTACATTATGATAGGTAAATTCTTGGCTTCTATGATAGGGAATGGTATTTATATTTGGTCTGCAGCTAGATAAGGTGGCGTTGTAGCATGTAAGCAATTTTGCATCTGCTGTGCAGCCACTTTCTGTTTGCTGATAGTCTTACAACACTCATTGTACAAGGAAAATTACCAAAAACAAGGAATTATTTGATTCTGGAATAATTTTGATTTCTGGAAAATTGTTAACAAATGTTAGATGAAAACTAACCCAACTAAATAGGGTTAACCATGCATGCATGGCTAAGGTTAATTCTACTTTCACTCATATTTCAGTATGAACTAGCTAATCCCCCTAACCATGCATGGATGGTTAACCCTCCTAAATTGTGTAAGTTTTCATCATACATTTCATTCAGATTTATTTCAGATGCAAATAATTCCTTGTTTAAAAAGGGAATTATCCATTATGCTTCAGTTTACATGTTTCTCAATCTCATGCAGACACAAATTTGACAAAGTGTATAGTGAACAAATCATTAAGCTAGCTATATATTTTAGAAATAAATCATAACAATTGCAATGGCAGGATGCAATGCATCCACAACCATATTATTTGACAAAATTGCATGTAGATATTTTCAAATATTCCTTCTCAATGCCAAAATTGAAAAACCTAAAAAAAATTGATTTACTAATATTAAGTCAATGATATTTGGTATGCAGTTTGATAAGTTTTCAGCGATTGCCATTTTAATTCCAACATTTGCATTATTCCATCAAAATTACGAAAACATGAGACAGTTTCTTTATAACAGTGATTAAAGCTGAGTTAGAATTGAATTTCATAATTTGCATTAATGACTTAACTTCCATACAACATGTAAGATTCACTTTTGCATATATTATATCAGAAGTGTGCAAGCTGTGCTATATAGTAAGGCGATCAAGATGTCCCCATTATCAGTGGAAAGCGCCATAGGGTGTCCTCCCAAATCTCGTTTTATAACTATGGGTAAAAATATTATCATAAAACAGATAAGTGCTAATTAATCTCCTTCAGTTTTTGAATAATTATCAGTATGTGAAAATGAATAAAACCAACAAAGATTCAAGTACACTGTGCAATACTCACAAAACATGTTTAACCCCGCCGCATTTATGCGCCTGTCCCAAGTCAGGAACCTCTGGCCTTTGTTAGTCTTGTATGTTTTTTTAGTTTTAGTTCATTTATACTTTTCAGAGTTTAATTGTAACCTCATACTATCCAAGATTAAAATTTTACAGCATACAACTTTTTTGTATAGTTTTAATGCACAAGATTAGATAACATCTATAATAAACAAGGATTTAGTTAACTGATTGATTAGTGTTTAACGCCACTTTTCAGCACTATTGTGCTATTTCGTGGCGGTCAGTTTTATTGGTAGAGGAAGCCGGAGTGGCCAGAGAGAACCACCAACCTTCGGTAGGAAAAAGGGATTTAGATATAAACATGTACCGGTAAAATGAGCATCAATGTACTTAGAACACAGCGGTAATTATCGTTATAGTAATTAACAAACAGTAGGATCTCTTTGACCTGAGTACCTGTTTAAAGGTTCGTCAATATAATACTTCCATGATAGGAAATACCAATAAAAATATTTCGTATTATTGAAATCTGAATACCATAAGAATCCCACGAACTTGTTAGTTTCGCATGTTATACGTATAAAATCATACACAGTGAGATCCGTACAGCAAGATGTAAGAATTTGAATCGCAATTATTAAGAGGACAATTCCCTATCCATTTTGAGAGTACAATGCCCGCGGGAACTAGATAAAGATTGAAATAAGTGCAGAAAAATGCATTTTTTTCTAATAATAACGCCAAAAAATATAAAAAAAACATTATGATATGAATATGAATTAATGAAACTGTATCTTCTTCTTTTGCCACTTAACTTTCCATATTTCACCATGATTGTTCCTCCTCCAAATGCTAATAGACCTCTTCCAGTTTCATCAATCCTACTGGCGAAGTTGATGTAAGTTTTTTCTGTAGATTGTCTGTTGTTTTCCAGTTCTTTTTCTTGATGAAAGTCAAAAACACAGTGGACATAAAAGTTAAATATCTGATTAAAATCATTTTTGTCGTTATTGTCAGCAACAATTTACCACATGACTGATGATAATTAAAATGAAGGCTTCGTAACTGTTTCTTTCTGCTCGCAGTTGATCATAAACATCAGTAATTTTAGTAACTATCATTTATAAGTCTGATGTTGAATTTCCATGAAAACTTAAAAACAAAGAGTTTCTTTTCTCAAAATTTACAATGTGTAGCTCTTGTAAAACTTTTTTAGATACATATTCATTAAAATCAGCCATTATAAACGTCGTATAAAAAACACCATCAGCTTTTAATTATCATATCCATGTTCTATCTTTCAATGCGACAGTGCGTTAATTAATTCACGGGGTGTTCTACATAAATTATCTCTACCCAGAATGCAGCGCAAAAATTTTGGCCATTGATTTTTGTTACTTTTAATAGCAATCTCGCTCAAATCCCGTTTCAATCACATTTAGAAGTACGGGGACAACGTGGTCGCCGTACTATATAGCGGGTTGCACACTTCCTCTAGTAATGGACTTCTGATAATATTTACATGGATAATCTATATTTTTACTTAAATGTATTGACCCCTGGGCTTGTTGTTTTTTTTGCTTCAGAATACACAACTTCCAGTAATTCTTGATTTTGTATGATCTTAACTGAATAATCCTGGAAAAAGTTACTTATGAACTTGTTTTAAGGCTTGCTTTGTGGCTTTTGGCTAAAGACAGATTGATGATGTGTAGATGTTTAATCTTATTAAAATTCTTGTTAGTTTGTTTTCTCAATGATATATACACAGTATCTCTTTGATTTATATAAATGAATAAAACATCATTTTTTTCAAAGTCTTACAAATACCAACATTTAATCCAAATTCAGTCAAATAACTTATTTTATGCTGAATGTAAAAGATAAGTATTTTTCAATTTTCAGTATGCAGCAGGGGAAGATGTTTTTCTTTATAGGAGCTGTGATGACGTTTGTTCAAGGTAATAATCCACATCTTTTCTGAAAATACATTTCTGACAGATTAGTAAATAAGATAAATGAAGAGGTTTGGTATATTAATTAAGTCTCCCAAACAAAGTTTGGGAAGACTTATTGTTTTTGCTCAGTTCTTATTATGTCACCCGATCGACAATGTCGGGTGACATATTGCTTTTCCTCTGTTTCTTTTTCCCTATTATTATTATGTCACCCGATCGACAATGTTGGGTGACATATTGCTTTTCCTCTGTTTCTTTTTCTGTATTATTATTATTATTATGGCACCCTCAACGGAGTTGGGGTGACATATTGTTATTCTACGTTTCTTTTTTTTCTTATTATTATTATGGCACCCTCAACGGAGTTGGGGTGACATATTGTTATTCTACGTTTCTTTTTCTTTATTAATTTTCTTCCACTTTTTTTGTCCAGACGTTTTCTCGGAATTGTATGGACCAATCCTAATGGAACTAAACCAGAATGTTAACCACCATGTGCAGAAGTGCAAATAAGGGTTGGCATATCCAAGATGGCTGCTGTTGTCATGGAAACAGCAGAAATATCCAAAAAATCAATATGCTTCAAAGTTAATGAAACTTCACACAAATATTGACTAGCATATGCAGATGTCCCATTTGACTTTGGAATTTCCAAAATGGCTGCCGTTACCATGGAAACAGCAAAAATTTCAAAAATTTCAAAAATGCTCCAAACTCAATTTAACTTTACAATAATGTTAATTGGCATCTGTAGATTTCCTCTTTGACTTTGGAATTTTCAAAGTGGCTGCCGTTACTCTGGCAATGGGGGAACGAGGGTGCCATCCGTTATTGCTAGCAATTACAAATCTAGTTATTATGGCTATCTCAACGGAGTTGGGATGACATATTGTTATTCTTCGTTTCTTTTTATGCCCCCGCCGTAGCGGTGGGGGCATTAAGTTTTACTCTTGTCCGTCTGTACGTACGTACGTACCTACGGACAAAATTGGTTTCCGTTCTCTAACGAGAGTTTGCCTCAACCAAATGTTATGAAACTTATACACAATGCTTATTACCACAAAACACAGATCAAGTATGAATTTTGGTGGCGTCACTTTAACCTTTCTAGAGTTATGCTCCTTTATAAATGGAAAAATTGCAAAATATTTAGTTTCTGTTCTCTAACTTAAGTTTGCCTCAACCAAATGTTATGAAACGTATACACAATGCTTATTACCTCAAAACACAGATCAAGTTTGAATTTTAGTGGCATCACTTTAACCATTCTAGAGTTATGCCTCCTTGAAACAAATGTAGATCATTGTGTATATTTTTTAAATACAATTAGCAGTACTGGGCAGTACCATTGGTGTTGACTGGGAAACATGTTATAGAATACACTGTTTAATCACCAAACAAAGAGAAAAGAAATATTAAATTTGTTGCAATGAAATACTATGATTTCTCAGTCAAATAGAAATGGATATTTTACCTTGAGATTAATCCTTCAATTTTAATCCTCTGATGTCATACAACATAAGTGTTGTCCTGATATTGTCAATGAAATTTCATCAAATAGAATTTTCTACCTTATTTTACACTAAAAATTAATGTAATAAAAAAAACTAATCCAAGTATTAAAAAATATTTAAGTTATGACCAAATAGTTCACATGCTATGTACATTTTGTTAGTTAATGTATTGTTTAGAAGCTTCATGAAATATATTTATGGTATACAGGAAATGTAAAGATGTTTCAGGAGACAACAACAGCAATGAAACATAGGTTATAAATACATGTATTTTGTCTATTTTTACAACTGGTAAATAAGATATACAAAGCTTTGTTACTTTAAATGCCAGTTATTTTGAATTAACTATTATCAATGCATAAAAAGGATTTATGCTGTTCTATTTCAATTGCCAAATCATCATACTCTCTTTTTTTTCACATAACGTTTGAATGCAAGATAAGTGGTATATTTTTCATGAAGTCTTTATTTAAAGGTTTGTGCAAATGCAATGTGTTTTCAATCACATCTATTTGATTGCATTTTAAAATAAATTTGTATTGTTTCAGGTGGTTATGTAAGAAAAATCAAGTCTGGAACAGAAGTCAGAACTGCAACAATGGTAAAGATTTAATATGCACAAGGATGCACTTGAATAAGTGTAAAAATATAAAAATAAGGAAATTTGGTATGATTACAAATGAGGCAACTATCCACCAGAGACCAAAGGGTGAGAATGTAAACAACTATAGGTCACCTTATGGCCTTCAACAATGAGCAGAATCCATACTCTATATTAAGCAATAAAGGGCCCTGGTGTGACAAAATGTTGTGGCCTTATTTATGCTAAAAACAAAAAACAAATATTACAGACAGTAACCAATGACAACCACTAAATTACAGAATCCTTCCTGTCTAAGGACAGGCACATAAAGAATATGGTGGGGTTAAGCATGTCCCGTTGTCCTTCTAAACCTAGAACAGTGATGTAACAGCACAACATCAGAAAAAAACTGTAAAAACCAGTTTGAAAAGGGCTTGACTCATTGAATCAGCAAAAACAAAAACACAGAAAACACAAAGTCTGCAGTCCACTAACAGCCTTATAGACCCAGTGCTAGAAAATTAAAATAACGCTTTATAAATTTGATGGACCACAAAGCTCCTCTGGATTAACCTTAATCAAGAACACTCAAATTCACAATTTTTAAAGCTAAATGATGTTTATCCACTTTAATAAGTTGGGAGACACATGAGCAAAATGAAACTAAAAAGAATAGATAAAAAAACACTGACGTTAACTTTACCAGAGGAAGTTTAAGTGATGATTTATACCCCTTTCTTCCATTTTTAACTGGATTTTTTAAGGAAATATCAGTTATTGATTTGGGGATGTACGGCGGGCGGGCGGACGGGTCAAATTTAGATTTGTTGTTACCTGTGACTAAATGAAGGTCAAGTTCAATTTTCACGATTTTAGCTTTTCTCCTTGTTGAGTTATCGCTCTTTTTAATATCCAAAAGTGGTATTTTTAATGTGATTGAGTTAATTCTCTTTAAACAGAAATGGTTAATTATATGTATAAAGTTTGATTACACTAACATGACTAAAAAAAAAACTATTTTAATAATTTTAAAAATGCTGATTAAGGTAAATTAATTTTAGCCATGATTATGTATGTCATTTTCTATTTTAAGACTTTTATGATGTACATGTATTTAAATGGGTAATTATGGTTGCAAACTCCATTGGAAATTTGAATTGAGATTATGACCATGTCATGAGGGAAAGAAATTTTTTTTTGGAAAAGGGGGGGGTAAAAAAATTGGGGGGGGGGGGGGAGGGGACATTTTTTTTCTCAAGATTTGGGGGGGGGGGGGGGAGGTCAATACGCAACAGCATAGTGTATTGCCACAAAAGCAAAAAATTGAATATAAATTCAAATCCTATAAACCAATTCTAAGTTCTTTGACTACAGTTATTCTGTGTCAGAAACCTATTATGTGTCAAATATTTAATTACAATCCAAATTCAGACCTGTATCAAGCGTGAATATTGTGTCCATTTTTGCCCCAACTGTTCAGGGTTGGACCTCTGCGGTGGTATCCAGCTGCGCTCGGCGAAGCAATTTATTTTTTAAATAAAATTGGCATAATCGAATACTTTATTTTTGGTGCAAGTAATTCTAGGTATTTTGAAAAGTAGTGGTGCAAACGTAGCATTGGCACAAATGAGTGGTGGCGCAAACAGATTTCTCCCCTAATGACATACTAATAACTATATATAAATATTACAAAACAAATTACTTTGAGCAAACTGTGACATCAAAAACATCCCACAACATAAGTAAAAATTATTCTTTCTATATATAAAACATATTTTTTACACAGTATAACGCTAACAAAAATTTAAGCCAAATTACACACCATGACATACTACCTGGGATGAGAGAGCATAAAGTAATATAATCCAGGTCCAACATATTAAAGAGGAGACACGCCTGTGGGTATTTGATCGTTTTCTATTGATTTTTAGGAATATAAAGAATATGTATCATTTCTAGCAAACAATAAGTTTTTATTTAAGACCCAGAGTGAGGTTTCAAATGTTTTTGTTTTCAGAAAGAAAGCTTCAAGGAGGCCCACATATTCTCTGGTTGAAAACTGTTAGCAGTGTTTTGCACACATTATAATAAGTAGAGTTTTCTTAGTAGTTTTGGATGTTCGACACTTTTATTACAGGGAATGATGTAGTTGATGGTTTGATATTTTTATTACAGGGAATGATGTACTGTAAATTCAGAAATTAATGCGAGGTTTTTATTAATGCGAATAATGCGACTGAATGAGTATCGCAATAAAAAGAACTCGCATTCTTATATCTGATACATATAACTGCATGCAGATTATCCTGAAATCGCAATAATAAATCTCGCATTTTAGTCCATTCTAGAAAATTCGCAATAATAAATGCACGCAATAATTTCTGAATTTACAGTAATTGATCGTTTGATATTTTTATTACAGGGAATGATGTAATTGATTGCTTGATATTTTTATTACAGGGAATGATGTAATTGATTGCTTGATATTTTTATTACAGGGAATGATGTAATTGATTGCTTGATCTTTTTATTACAGGGAATGACTTTACTTATACCAGCCTTTATTATTATGGCTTTTGCATACACAGCAAGTATCATGTACACTGGCCTTTTTCTCTTTGCTTTTGGTAAGTGATAAGATAAAAAACATGATCTTTAAAATAAGGCAGGTGAAATAAAAACTTTAAAGTTATCCAAATTTTCTATATGAAATAAGATGTGGTTTGATTGCCAATGAGACAACTATCCACCAGAGACCAAATGAGCAAAACCCATACTGTATAGCCATCTATGAATGACTCTGACATAACAAAATGTGTAAAACCAACATCCTGATTTATTAGAAAACAAAAAGAAATTGATTTTAGGCTACCAATGAAAATCCCTGACAGGCTCCTGACTTGAGACAGGCACATATGGAATTTGGTGGGGTTATACTGTTTCCGACGGCGTTGGCGGCTTCAGCGGTGTCAACAATGTATAAGTTTGTGATTAGGTCAGTTTATGGGAACTGCTAGTGGTTAGTCAATGATATTTGGTATGCAGTTGTATTAGCATTGGCACATCTCATTTCCATGGAGATTATTTGGCCCTGCCCCCCTCAGTCATGGTCTATTAACTTTGAAACTTTTGCTTAGTTTACATGTATTAGTTTGTGATTAGGTCAGTTTAAGGGGTACCACTAGTGGTAGGTCAAATGTATATTATATATAGATGCATCAGCATTGGCACATCTCATTTCCTTGGAGATCATTTGGGGACGCCCCTCAGTCATGATCTATTTAATGTTTTGCATAGCTTACATGAAAAAGTTTGTGATTAGATAAGTTTAAGAGGAACCACTTATGTTAAGTCAATGATATTTGTATGCAGATGTATTAGCATTTGCAAGTCTCATTTCCATGGAGATTATATTGCCCCATCCCCTTATCATGGTTCATTGACTTTGAAACTTTTACATTGTTTAGAATCTAATGGTTTGTAGTAGAAAGTTTGTGGGTTTTTTTTGTCACCAATTGCTGAAAATAAAACATACGGGTAAAATGCATTAATTGTCTTATATCTTGAAAACTATAGAGAAAATCTGATGGTGGATGGCACCAAAATGCTCAGAATAACAATTTCATGTGTTTTGAGTGAAATACTGCAGGATTGCAGTTGCCATTCCTTAAACAAGCACTGTGGAAATAATGATATATGATATTTGGTATGCAATTTTATTAGCATTGATTCATCTCATTTCCATGGAGATTATTTGGCACTGCATGCTCAGTCATGATTCATTGACTGAAACTTTTGCATAGGTTACATGTTTAACTTTTGCCATTAAGATTTCAACATTTGCTCTAAACTATCAATATTACATACAGGCCAGACATATCTTTGTGTCAACAGTTTAAATATGTAAGTTATTTGATATGGCATATTTTTACTTTTGTGGGATAACAGTTTCTTGTAACCTTTTTTTATATTTATCATCGTTGTTACAGCATCAGCAACAGTAGTGCCCTGTTTAACAACTTTGATCTCACAGTTTGGCGGAACTGACCAAAAAGGTGTCATCATGGGCGTATTTAGATCCCTTGGAGCTTTAGCTAGAGCATTAGGACCATTTATAACATCAACTAGTAAGTAGACTCAAATTAATTTTGTAAACTCAGTAACAATGATGTCAAAACAGCAATGACAATGTATTTTACTTTCAAAATATTTAGTTTAAAATTGATTGAAGAATTTCATAAGTTTTCTTGCTCATGCCTTAGATGATTGCCCATCTCTCATGAATAACTGAATATGTGGGGTATACATCAGTTAAACAGCACTCCAATGACATAATAAATCAAAAGTATTCTGGAGGTATTTTCACATTTTTTTTGTGTTTTTGGACATTTTCTTGAAAACTGAAATAGCTAGAGATATAATAACCAGCAAATCAGCAGCATAACCAATAGAAAATCCACAAATATATTCAAATAAGTCAACATAACCAAAACTGTCAATCAGCTCCTTATTTGAGTAATTGCCTTTGATGTATTTTTACTCATTTTTGTCTTTTTTTTTTATTATTTTGAAGTGTTGATAAGAAGTTACTGTCCTTAAATGATGGTACAAAATGTATTTACCCTTTTCTTTGTTTCTGTCTATGATATCTTCAAAACTATGAAAGCCAGAGAGAAATTGTAAACAACAAAAATTATCAGGAAAATAAGATAAAAAGGTCAACATAAACTAAATTGAGAATAGGCTTCTAAAACCAGTTATTTCCCTTTTATTGCATTTTTGGCTATCATTTGGGAACTTTAGTAGATAGAAACAGAAAAAATAATCAGCATGATAAGTTCTATAAATGGGGGAATATAACTGAATTTTTTGATAGAGTCATTAAATGACAATTATGTACCAATGTCATACCCAAGAATGAAGGACAATAATGACCGATTACCCTTATCAGCGACACCGGGGGTGCAATGTTTTCAATGATGTTCGATTAACATAGAAAGTAATGGGAAAATAAATGGGTACCCTTCATTAATTCTTCATATTATTTTTATTAATCATTTGAATTCTTATTAACACATACGAACGAATTCTACATAGATTTACCTTTCTGATGGTATTAAAAAAATTCAGTTCATCTTATCTCATTGTTAGGTCTTCGATTTTTTGAAATTTCATTATCTTAATTCCCTTACTCACATCAGTAAATATCAATGAATTACCTCAAAAGAAAAGAGACAGCAGTAACTAAAAAAATTGAAGCACACTTAATATTCGGAGGAAATACTATTAACACATACTGTTGAATACTCCTGTCAATAAGCTATATTTTGATGTCAGAAAACTCAGTTTAAATTAAGAAATTCTTAGGTCTCCGGCGTATTGAAAAGTGGTCTTTGAAAAAAAATTACTAACACAAATTTAATTATGAAAACAACGTACATTAGCGAGATCATACTGTTATACATGTAAAATAAATTCCAGTTATTCTTAAATAAATGAAATAATACATAATAAGTTCAAATTCAAAGTGTTCACTGCGGCTATTTTTTATTGTTCAAATAGAAACGAGGAATATTGAATACAAAATAAAATTATATTTAATTATATTAAATTGTATTCGTCAGGATAACTCATCTGTTCAAAGGACATAATGGAGTTTTACTATAAGGGTTCTTGTTCATTATAGTTCATAGTTCGTACAATTTCATATAATAGAAACTATACAAATTGAAAATGTTCTACATGATAAAGCACATCAAATGAAATAAAGGGTTTGTCCCTAGGGGTCACCCCCACCCCCTGCCATTTGACAAAGTTCTAATATCTTGTAAGTGGTCAAGATCCCCACCCCTAAACCATATATATTCTGGTTTGTCATGATAAAGCACATCAAATGAAATAAAGGGTAAGTCCCCAGGGGTCACCCCACCCCCTGTCATATGAGAAAGTTCTAGTATCTTGTAAGTTGTCCAGATCCCACCCCTAAACCATATATATTCTTGTTTGTCATGACACAGTCCATCAAATGAAAAAAAGGATTAGTCCCCACAGGTCACCCCAACCCCCTGCCATTTGAGAAAGTTCTAATATCTTTTAAATGGTCGAGATCCCCACCCCTAAACCATATATATTCCGGTTAGTCATGATACTGCACATTAAATGAAGTAAAGTATTAGTCCCCAGGGGTCACCCCCACCCCCTGCCATTTGAGAAAGTTCTAATATCTTGTAAATGGTTGAGATCCCCTCCCCTAAACCATATATATTCCTGTTCGTCATGTCACAAAGATTCGAAAGATATATAGGATCAGTCCCCAGGGGTCCCCCCACCCCTAATGATCTAATATCTTGTAAATGGTCGAGATCCCCACCCGTAAACCATATATATTCTGGTTTGTCATGCCAAGATGATTTGAATGATATACAGGGTCAGTCCCCAGGCATTACTAATGCATATAACTTTACTGGACTTTGCCCAATGTCATGCGAACCTGGGAATGACGAATCATGGGAGCTTCGTTTGGGAGACTTCGTAACAGCATCCTGTTACAATCATTTCTTGTTATCCTCTGTCCAATATAAAAAGATTGGGTTATCTCGCTTGGAAATGTGACATATTTTTGCACATGAATGGCTTTTGCAATTATCTTGAAATATTTTATAAATGATAGAAACTGTAAAAACAAAAATGATCAGCAAGACATGATCTACAAAAAAAAATTAAGTGATGGAAATAGTCTATATTAACTCCTTATTTGGGTTATTGCCCTTCAAAATTTTTAATGCCCCCGCCATAGCGGAGGGGGCATTAAGTTTTACCCTTGTCCGTCTGTACGTCTGTACGTCTGTCCCAAAGTTGGTTTCCGTTCTCTAACTTTAGTTTGCCTCAACCAAATGTTATGAAACTTATACACAATGCTTATTACCACAAAACACAGATTGAGTTTGAATTTTGGTGGCGTCACTATAACCGTTCTAGAGTTATGCCCTTTACAAATGGAAAAATTGCTGAATTTTTCTTTTCCGTTTTCTAACTTTAGTTTGCCTCAACAAAATGTAATGAAACCTATACACAATGCTTATTACCACATAATACAGATCAAGTTCGAAATTGGGTGGCGTCACTTTTACAATTCTTGAGTTATGCCCCTTTATAAACATAATAAAATGCTCCGCTGGGCGCAGCTTGATACGACCGCAGAAGTCGAACCCTGAACAGTTGGGGCAAGTATGGACACAACATTCAAGCTTGATACAGCACTGAATTTGGATTGTGATTAAATATTTGACACAGCACAGGTTTCTGACACAGAATGAAGGTGGTCTAAGAATTTAAAAATGTTTAATTTACCTATTCAAACCATATCATTATTATTTGCTTTTATATATAAATCAGAAATAACCAATTTAAAATGGAAAATTTTAAAGAAAAAAAAATCACCTCCCCCCCCCCCCCAATTTTTTGAACCCACTTATGATTCATCACCCCCAAACTCAATCCCAGCCTTCCCTTTGTGGTATGGTACCTTGCAGTACAATTCCAGAGAGATCAATACACTTGAACACAAGTTATAGCCTGGAAACTAGAAAAATGCTTGTTTGTTGGCCCCTTTTTGACCCCAAATTCCTAAACATTTAGGTCAATTACCCCAAACTCAAACCCAGCTTTCCCTTTGTGATATGGAACCTTGAAGTACAATTTCATAAGATCCATACACTTACACACAAGTTATTGTCCTGAAACTAGAAAAATGCTTGGTTTTTTGCCCCTTTTTTGGCCCCTAATTCCTAAAATTTTGAGGCAATTACCCCCAAAATCAATCCCAGCCTTCACTTTGTGGTATGGTACCTTGCAGTACAATTTCAGAGAGATCCATACACTTGAACACAAGTTATTGTCTGGAAACTAGAAAAATGCTTATTTTTGGCCCCTTATTCCTAAACGTTTTGGGCAATTACCCCCAAACTTAATTCCAGCTTTTCCTTTGTGATATGGAACCTGGTAATACAATTTCAGAAAGATCCATACACTTACACACAAGTTATTGTCATGAAACTAGAAAAATGCTTGTTTTTTGCCCCTTTTTTGGCCCCTAATTCCTAAAATTTGGAGGCAATTACCCCAAAAATCAATCCCAGCATTCCCTTTGTGATATGGAACCTTGTGGTACAATGTCAGAGAGAACCATACACTAACACACAAGTTATGTCTGGAAGTTACAAAAATGATTATTTTTGGCCCCTTTTTGGCCCCTAATTCCTTTACTGTTGGTACCATAACCCCCAAAATCAATCCCAACCTTCCTTTTGTGGTATTGAACCTTATGGTAAAATTTCATAGAGATCCATTCACTTAAACTAAAGCTAGAGTGCGAAAACCAATGTGTCTTCGGACGACGACGCCAACGTCATACCAATATATGAATTTTGCGGTCGTATAAAAATTGCTGAATTTTTCGTTTCTGTTTTCTAACTTTAGTTTGCCTCAACCTGAAACGTATACACAATGCTTATTACCACATAATACAGATCAAGTTCGAAATTGGGTGGTGTCACTTTTACAATTCTTGAGTTATGCCCCTTTATAAACATAAAAACTGCTGAATTTTTGGTTTCCGTTCTCTAACTTTAGTCTGCCTCAACCAAATGTTATGAAACTTATACACAATGCTTATTACCACATAAAACAGATCAAGTATGAAATTGGGTGGCATCACTTGTACCTTTCTTGAGTTATGCCCCTTTATAAACGTAAAAATTGCTGAATTTTTCGTTTCTGTTCTCTAACTTAAGTTAGCCTCAACCAAATGTTATGAGACTTATACACAATACTTATTACCACAAAACTCAGATCAAGTACAAATTTGGGTAGCCTCACTTTTACTGTTCTTCAGTTATGTCCCTTTATAACTTTATATGATATGCAAGCCGGAGCAACATCTGTGTCCCATGGACACATTCCCCATTTATTTTAAATATTCTAGTAGAACTAGATCAAACATAATCACAATATGTATTCTTGATGTTTTGTTAAATTTGACCTAGCTTTTTCTGTAGGTTTTATATTAATATCCCACATGATCTTGTCGTAAATTTGGTTGACAGCTTATCCCCACTTTGTCCATATATCCAAATAGGTACTTAAAACAATCTTGTAAAATAGATTGCATATGAACATTTATAAAGCTTTCAACTAGCTACGGAAGAGGTTCTAAATGAAAACTAGTCCTAAGTATGTAAAAGAAACTAGGCAATATGTTATATCTGTTAATAAATTGTAACTTTCTAACTAAATGAAGCATTCATTTTGTTTTAGTTAAAAGTTACGTAATGTACATTTGGTTTTAAAAGTAATCTAAATCATTTTATTACATTACATTTTTTTTAATTTATTTTGCAGTCTACTGGAGTTTGGGGGAAAAGGTTTGTTACATTTTTGGTGCAGTTTGTCTTCTGTTCCCGCTGCTTATGTTGAGGATGGTTATGACCACAACAAAGAAGAATGTATGATAGGAGAATATGAAACTTATAACATCTATCATGTCTATGCAACAAAAAGCCTTGTGATATTTTTAAAGAAAAATATAATTTTATGAATAACTGTAATATAAATGTTAATTTTTAGCTCACCTGTCCTAAAAGACCAGGTGAGCTTTTGCCATTCCTTTGTGTCGGTTGTCTGTCCATCACCCTGTGTAAACTTTTTCAAAGATTTTCTCCTCTGATATGACTGGACCAATTTCAAACAAACTTGGGCTGATTGATCCTTTGGGTATATTGTATAAAGTTTTCAGTTTTCATTCTTGTCCATCAAGAAACATGACCGTCATGCCTAAAAATAAAACATAGGGTAAAATGATTTTTTTGACTAATATCTCAAAAACTTAAGCAGTTAGAGTTTATCTGACAGGGCGAAAATTATTAGCAGGTCAAACCACATCTCCTGTAGAATTTTGAAAAATATAACAGATAGAAAGAAATTTTGAACAGTAAAAATGACCAGAACAATAAGATCTACAAATAAGTCAACTTAAGGCAACAATAAGGCGGAAAATATCAAAAGACACCTTGTAGGAGTTGTTGCTTTTAAATGATAGTTTAAACCCTTTTGCATTTATAGGGGAAACTATAGTTGATAGAGAGAATTATTTAATAGAAAAAATGTTCAACAAAATATGACATACAAAAAGGTTGCAACTTAAATTTTCGAGGTAAAATTATCGAAATATACCTTATTAAGCTAAGTACAACCCATGCTTTACAAATATTAAGGGGGGGGGGGGGGGGGGGCGCAAGCCCCCGCCTGAATCCGTCCCTGTCAATGGACCCCTTATAGGAGTTATTGTCATTGACTTTAATAAATAATCATAAATTGTGAACAGTAGAATATGATCATCAGTACAAGACCTACAAAAATGCCACAAAATAAGATCTACAAATAATCAAACATAACTAATTGTAATAAAGAAAGAAAAAATATCAAAATGGCATATCTTTTACAAGGTGAGCGAATCAGGTACTTGGGAACCTCTTGTTTTTTTTAGTACATTTATAAAAGTATTTTTTACATAATATTTCACAAAATTTACTTGGTACATAAAGTGTTCTTGGGAGATAACTTGTATCTATATAATGAAAATAAAATGTTCTTGAATATTACTTAATTATTAAACATAGAAGGATACTTTGGTTTAAAATTATACATACAAATCATATGCATTGACAGTATAATGTTGTTAGACTATCAAATTGTTATCATATTACAATTTCCAAAATCTTTTGATAATAACCTGTTGAACATCATGGAGATAAGTATCTTATACATATTAGTTCCTTGTTCATTCTTTTACAAAGTTGATGAAGGTCTATAATAAAACGGAGTGTTTATTGTTACGGCTAGCCAGAAGAATAGTTAAAAATCTCTATTTTTCCTGCCATCCGTTTGCGGATACGCAAATGTTCAATATCAACAGAAGTGTCATGTGGCACGAAAAGTGTCCCGGATGAGGCACGTATGCAATGGTTGTTTTGAGAATTGGAGATCGTGATTTATTTTTAAAGACGTCTTAAAGAAAACTAGAGAGATTGTGATTGCTTTAAAAACAAATTTCTATAGAAGTGACTCTAGAACAATAGCGTATGCATGTAAACTGAGAGGAATAAAGCCTGAAATCAGACTGAAATTGCTGATTTACCCCATTATTATACCCTGGATTTAAAAAAGTGGGGGTATACTGTTTTACCTCTGTCTGTCCATCCATCTGTCCATCCATCCATCAGTCCATCCATCCGTCCGTCCCATGAATATTTTTTCTTCGCATCTTTCTCGGGAACTACATTACAAGGATTTCTGAAATTTGGTTTCAGGGTTTATATAAGTCAGCTATACCGTGTGATGCGTTTTCAGATTCATCACTCAACAACTTCCTGTTTACCGAACACTTGCATCATTTTACACATGATAGCCAAGTTGACAATTTTCATCACATTTTTCTCAGGAACTACAATACAAGGATTTCTGAAATTTGATTTCAGGGTTTATATAGGTGTCAGACCACCAAAAACTCCCTCCAATTTAGAACGTATGTAAAAGTAGGCCTACTCGGACAAAAAATAGTGCATTTGATGTCATTGTTTACTTAAAAGAGGGACGAAAGATACCAGAGGATCAGTCAAACTCATAGATCGAAAACGAACTGACAACGCCATGGCCAAAAATAAAAAGACAAACAGACAAATAATAGTACATATGACACAACATAGAAAACTAAAGACTAAGCAACACAAACACCACCAAAAACTGGGGGTGATCTCAGGTGCTCCGGAAGGGTAAGCAGATCCTGCTCCACATGTGGCACCCGTCGTGTTGCTTATGTTATTACAAATCTGGTAAATAGTCTAATTCGGTAGGTCACATTCGTGAAAAGGGAAGGGTATTGTAGTTACGACATAAGGAACATATCCGATATAACTAACCAACAAATTTGCAGAAATGAAACTTTTGGTGAAAGAGAAATATATTAAGACCATTTTGAGCCAAAATTTTCTTGTCTATGAGTTAGAATTAAACATTGAGGATTAATGCGCTCCATAGTATACTAATTTAAGATTTCCAGAAAACCAGGGGTTATTTTTAGTGGTACCTCAGTTCGGGAGGTCACTTCTTTTTTAGCTCACCTGACCTGAAAGGTCAAGTGAGCTTTTCTCATCACTTTGCGTCCGTCGTCCGTCGTCCTGCGTCCGTCGTCCGTAAACTTTTACAAAAATCTTCTCCTCTGAAACTACTGGGCCAAATTGGACCAAACTTGGCCACAATCATCATTGGGGTATCTAGTTTAAAAAATGTGTCCGATGACCCCGCCAACCAACCAAGATGGCCGCCATGGCTAAAAATAGAACATAGGGGTAAAATGTAGATTTTGGCTTATATCTCTGAAACCAAAGCATTTAGAGCAAATCTGACATGGGATAATAAATTGTTTATCAGGTCAAGATCTATCTGCCCTGAAATTTTCAGATGAATCGGATAACCCGTTGTTGGGTTGCTGCCCCTGAATTGGTAATTTTAAGGAAATTTTGCCGTTTTTGGTTATTATCTTGAATATTATTATAGATAGAGATAAACTGTAAACAGCAATAATGTTCAGCAAAGTATGATCTACAAATAAGTCAACTTGACCAAAATGGTCAGTTGACCCCTTAAGGAGTTATTGCCCTTTATAGTCAATTTTTAACCATTTTTCGTAAATTTTTGTAATCTTTTACAAAAATCTTCTCCTCTGAAACTACTAAGACAAATTTAACCAAAATTGTCCACAATCATCATTAGGGTATCTAGTTTAAAAAATGTGTCCGATGACCCTGCCCACAAACCAAGATGGCCGACATGGCAAAAAAATAATACATAGGGTAAAATGCAGTTTTTGGCTCATATCTCTGAAACCAAAGCATTTAGAGCAAATCTGATGGTATAAAATTGTTCATTAGGTCAAGATCTATCTGCCCTGAAATTTTCAGACCAATCAGGCAACATGTTGTTGGGTTGCTGCCCCTGAATTGGTAATTTTAAGAAAATTTTGCAGCTTTTGGTTATTATCTTGAATATTATTATAGATAGAGATAAACTGTAAACAGCAATAATGTACAGCAAAGTTAGATCTACAAATAAGTCAACATGACCAAAATTGTCAATTGACCCCTTAAGGAGTTATTGCCTTTTATAGTCAATTTTTTACAATTTTCATAAATTTTGTAAATTTTTGTAAATTTTTACAAAATATTTTCCACTGTAACTACTGGGCCAAGTTCATTATAGATAGAGATAATAGTAAGGAGCAAGAATGTTCAGTAAAGTAAGATCTACAAACACATCACCATCACCAAAACACAATTTTGTCATGAATCCATCTGTGTCCATTGTTTAATATGCACATAGACCAAGGTGAGCAACACAGGCTCTTTAGAGCCTCTAGTTATAAGATTTTAATGGTATGTTGAAAATTGGCATGTAGAAAGGTGATACCTGTATGATTCAGGATATATGTGAAAATTGCAAAATTTGGTTGAACAGATAGGGATTTTTAATTGGTGGTCTGACACCTATAAGTCACCTATACCGTGTGATGCGTTTTCAGATTCATCACTCAACATCTTCCTGTTTACCGAATACTTGTATCATTTTACACATGATAGCCAAGTTGAAAATTTTCGTCACATTTTTCAAAGGAACTACAATACAAGGATTTCTGAAACTTGGTTTTAGGATTTATATAAGTCAGCTATACGGTGTGATGCGTTTTCAGATTCATCACTCAACAATATCCTGTTTACCGTCAAGTATTTGGGCGGGGGTATCATCAGTTAGCAGTAGCTCGCAGTTTCACTTGTCTTTACCTGTATCAACTGATGGAGGTAAAACGCATTTCAACAATTCACGGGAAAATGACTAAATCAAATATGCTTGGATGCATTATTTCTAAGTTCTACTACAACGGAGATCTATGAACATGCACTGATTATGACTGATATGCCTGGACTGGGAATAGGATAGCAGGGTTGGGGTAGCCCCCGTTTTTTATTCTGTTTTATCTAATAATAAAATTTGTTCTATGTATTTTTCTATCGTAAACACAATCTTACTTTGGGGACAGGTTACACGTGCCTAGCCTTTTCTAGTATTTCCTATGTGTTAAAAATCAAACTTTTTAAATAAAAAAATCGTGCAAAATCATTTAACAACCTGATTTGAACCAAACTTCAAGGAAACGATAAATTCAGAATCTTCTTTATGAATCATAGATGTCCATTGAAGCCATAAATAAGTGGCCCGACTCTTAACCTTACAGGAAATTCATAGGTAGAACAACTAAAAAAGGAGAGTCATTTTTGCCCTCCCCTGATTCCTTTAGAAAAAAAAAAAATCTGAATAAGCTGTATATACTTTGTAGTAAATTCTTTTGCATTTTGATTTTTTTTTAGTGAATGAATGGAAACATTATTTGCACATTTTTTTGCCAAGTCTATTATAGAGACTTTAATTCAAAAGTGTATTTGCTGCATATCAATAGATGTTGATATATTCTTCTTTTTATCTCATTTGACAAGCTGTTTATATTAACGAGGAATCAGTGTGTTCCATGGAACAGTCAGTAGAAAAATAAATCAAAATTGGTTCTTGAGGAGTTTATTCCCATAATAATTCTGTTTTTATTATTTGATTTTTGTTGCGTTACTACTTTTTACCTTGAGTTTATAATAACTTAATAAATAAGTAACGTCCGCTCGGAGAACGTGCAATAAATGAATAGTTCCAATTCTCAGTGTATGCATGTGAGGGGAAATTTTTGCCACTACATTTTCCATTGGATGCTACAATAACCTCTTAATCATAAACATATTCATTTTTCATTTTTATACGACCACAAAAAAATTTTGTGGTCATATATTGGTATGACGTTGGCGTCGTCGGCGTCGTTGTTGTAGTCGTCGTCGGTCGTCGTCCCAAGACACATGGGTTTTTGCACTTTAACTTTAGTTTAAGTGAATGGATCTCTATGAAATTTTACCATAAGGTTCAATACCACAAAAGGAAGCTTGGGATTGATTTTGGGGGTTATGGTACCAACAGTCAAGGAATTAGGGGCCAAAAATAAGCATTTTTGTAACTTACAGACATAACTTGTGTGTTAGTGTATGGATCTCTCTGACATTGTACCACAAGGTTCCATATCACAAAGGGAATGCTGGGATTGATTTTGGGGGTAATTGCCTCCAAATTTTAGGAATTAGGGGCCAAAAAAGGGGCAAAAAACAAGCATTTTTCTAGTTTCATGACAATAACTTGTGTGTAAGTGTATGGATCTAAACGTTTAGGAATTTGGGGCCAATAAGGGGCCTAAAAACAAGCATTTTTCTAGTTCCAGACAATAACTTGTGTTCAAGTGTATGGATCTCTCTGAAATTGTACTGCAAGGTACCATATCACAAAGGGAAGGCTGGGATTGAGTTTGGGGGTGATGAATCATAAGGGGGTTCAAAAAATTTGGGTGAGGGATTTTTTTTCTTTTTTTTTCTTTAAAATTTTCCATTTTAATTTGGTTATTTCTGATTTATATATAAAAGCAAATAATAATGATATGGTTTGAATAGGTAAATTAAAAAAAAATTTTAAGTTCTTAGACCACATTCATTCTGTGTCAATAACCTATGCTGTGTCAAATATTTAATCACAATCCAAATTCAGTGCTGTATCAAGCTTGAATGTTGTGTCCATACTTGCCCCAACTGTTCAGGGTTCGACCTCTGCGGTTGTATCAAGCTGCGCCCAGCGGAGCATTTTATTATGTTTATGGCAGGAATAATAGCATAATATCAGAGAAAAGCTATTCTTCTGGATGGCCGGAAGAGACTTTTTTTGCTATTGTTCCAGCTAGCCGGAAGAATAGCCACTTCCATAATAAAATGTCTTGCATTATAAGTAAATGGAGATTTGTTGATTAAATTATTATACTACTACATTGGAGTGGTGGTATTCTATATAGACTTGTCCATCAGTCTGTCCTTCGGTTTATCCATTAACTTTCAGGATTTATTACTCATCAGTCTTGCATTGAATGATTTAATATTTGATCTGCAACTTTATATTTTTGTGCTTAATCATGTAAGCAATTTTCAGATTTGTCAGGCAGTCTCAATCTGTTTCACAATATTTGAAATATTATTATAGGGGGGCACCCATTATACCCACTGATAATGGAAATTTTCATATTAACATATTACTCAGTTTCTGTTTAAAGGAATGATTTGATTATTGAATCTGGACTTTTGTAATAAAGCTCCCTTGATATTTTATCTGGATTCATTCTTCACAATTAAGGAACACCAAATTCTACACTTTCATTGGTCGAGAGTACTTTGCTATATTCTAAATGAAATTAGAACAAACTACAATATCCTCTTTATTAAAATAGTATTACAAATAAATCATTCTAAGAATCAACCAATAGAAGTATGATCAGATACATATATGTCACCACACTGTCTTATAATTACATAAGAATTGTAATCAAACTAAAAAAAAGGACATAAAAACGCTAGTTATGAGGGGGCTGATGGGTTATTTTCGTCCTTCGTGATCGAGGTATTTTGCTTGCCGTGATTCACTTTTGCATTGATTTATTATCCGTGACTCGTGATAAGTGCATTTTTCGTGACTCGTTTTCAATTAGATTTTAAAAGTTCTCCGTGATGGAGGTGTTAAATCGTCGTTTTTCGTGAACAGTTTTGTGGTATCAAAATAGAAACCACCCTATTTATCGAACTCCGAAACAGTGGTGACGTTGCTTCGCTAAACTATTAAAGTCAACGTAGCGTCAGTAAGGAGGACGTAACCACTGTTTCAGAGTTTGCTAATTTATCTTAAGAGTTGTCGTTCTTAAACTCTATTTATAAAGGACTGGTACTATTTGAAACAATGTACGGAAACCAGTCGTTAAAGTTAAGTATCGCGTAACCCGAATAATTCAGTCGTTATATTCCGCTGATCTACGATGGCTACATTAACTCACACCGTCTAAATCAGGGTGCACCCCCAGGGGAAAGAGAAACAGATTTTCGACACCAAGTAAGGGGTCCAGAAGACGACAGTTGAAATTCCAAACACCAAAACCACCACAGGCACAGACTCCAAAGTCATCACAGACTCCATCATCTTGCAGAAAGCTAACAGAAACTTCCAAGCTACAATCGCCTGGTCCAAAAGTGAAGGTAACTAGAGACACAAAACTTTACTTAAATGTTCTATATTAAAAATGATGATGTAGACAGTCATGAATAGTTCTATAAAAATAAATGTACATGTATATGGATATACTCACTGTATGAAAAATTGTACACGTATATACATGTACCCTTCATTTTTTATATATATATACTGCTCATTTAAATACAAACTCATTAATATTTTATTATAGTATACACTTGCATTAATACTATGTGTATTTATATTTTAAAGATTATGTAAAGTACAATGAAAGTATATCTTTTCTTTTGAATTCTTATTTTGGTACATGTACATGTATAATAACAAAATGTACATTCAAAATCATCTATAACATATATGTACATGTAACTTCCAAACAATAGTTATTGAATATATTTGATGATCTGGATATGGGTGACCCCTTCCTTTATCTTTATAATTTTTAGACCATTTAATCTCTTCTTATCTCATATATTTTGTCCATTATTTTATTATTCTGTAAACCACACCCAGACCCTCATACATGTACACAAACCCTTGATTTTATAAAAATGCAAATTTTTCAAATGTTAAAAGATATATGTACAATGATGTATATAGAGACTTAATCCATTTTATATACATGTACTTCTGAAATTCTTATCTAGAGGTCTTTTTTGTTTTTGCAGGTTCAAATAGGTTTTAGGAGTAGTCGGCGAAACTCACTTTTGCAAGGCCCTGGTAAACTTGCTTGCAGAGCCATTGTGATGAAACAGTACAAAACAGCATTAAATCACCTGCTTCAAATAGATGAGGGAAATAAGGATTTGGCAACTACTGTGAAAAAGGCACTTGACGATGAAGCACAAAAATTATGTAGATTGAAAAGTTCAGTATTCAAAGTTTCCAACATTTCAAAGTTCACATGGAGGTCAGCAATAAGCCAGTTAGAGAGTACATGCCCAATAACAATGGACATTTTAAGTGCTATTATTGGAAATAGTAAAAAGGACAAATTAGTGAAGACCCCAAGAATGGTGACCAGTATGGGTGTACTACTTTTCAGTAGAAACAGGCAGATGAACACCTTACAAGCAATTAATAGTGTCATGATGTACAGAGGACATGTGAGAACAAGGGTAAGTAAAATACATTTAGTATACATGTACATGACATGTGTATATACATTTATTATATCAGAGGTAACCTTAAAATCTTGTTGTTAACTACTAAGGTTCATGTACATGTATTGTGTTTAAGGTATTTAGCATTCACTCACAGGAGTAACTGCATGCACAAGTTAAGAGTAAATTAAAGTAGGTGATAATGCACATCCCTTTAAAAAAAAGTGAAGATAGATAAATTTGTGTTCCATACACTGTATGCATTAAAAGCATGTCATAGCCCTAGGTTATATATATATGCTGTAATCAAATATCATGTTGTCAATGTAACTATGAAGATAGATAAATTTGTGTTCCATACACTATACATATACATTAGTATGCATTAAAAGCATGTCATAGCCCTAGGTTATATATATATGCTGTAATCAAATATCATGTTGTCAATGTAACTATGTCTACATAGTAGAAGGGGAGGGTGGATTCAAACCATATCCATATATGTATACTTAAGTCCCTATTCAAAAGCATTTATTTAATATTGTTTGGAAAAAACCTGGACCCCCCACCAAATTGATCATGCTATACCAAGTTTTAACAACATGTACTCAGTATGCTGAAACATTTTATAGAATTGTAAAATTTAACTCAGATATACAAATTAATACAACATATTATGTCTGATTTTTAGGTTTACAGTACATTTAACAGAGCAGGGATATGCAACTCCTACAAGGCAACATTAGGCTTAGTAGATCAAATATGTAAAAACTTTGATATGCCTGTCAAGAAGTGGTCAAAAGAGATGTCTAACCAATATCAGCTTAACACAGTCACAGAAGATAGTAGTTAAGGTATATTGAGTAACATGTGATTGATTTAGGAATTTGATAACTTAAATAATAGCTATCATGGTTAAATATTTGCATTTCAGTGAAATATTTAAATTAGGTGTGTCCAATACATGTATGCTTTTCAGAAAAAAAAAAATTGTGTGACATCAAATCCAAATAATGATTAGCATGATTAGTTAATACATGGACAAGGGAGGATGATTCTATGGTTTAATTTTTTTTATTAGTTTATAATTCATGTAATTATCATCAAAATTTAAGAAACAAATGATGTAATTACATATCATGCCATTTGCAAATATTTGTTTGATTTCAATTTCTTTTATTTCTTTATTTTGTTTTATAGCATACACTGTACAAAATGTATATAAATATGTACATGATGTACCTGATCATATGTATAGTTTAGTATATCAGTATATGTACTATTTAATATCATCAGAATCTGAAACTTGAGGATCTTTTACTTTAAAATTCCAGAACATGTGAACATGCCTTTTCTTTTGTAGGAGACCATTGCTATTCTACTATAGACAACACTAGTACTGTGACCTCTGGTGACCATTGCTACTCAGTTGCACTTCTTGTCACAGATACCCCTCTCAAAGGCAAAGAGTCAAATGGTGATTTACCCTCCATTGATGCTAACGAAGTGACAATCCCAACTATAGAATGCTTTGGTATGTTGATGCAACAATTTATATGCATACATGTACATGTAGTTTACAAGATAAAATGCACTGTCTACAATATATATATATACAATGCTATTAAATATTATAACTTTAAGACATGGTTCAATGTCTTATTTCAGGTTAATCATCAAATCATATTGTAAATTTTTGGCTTATATTTTGAATTTATATATTTGTTTTTCTCGCACCAAAATTATTGAGCCATTATTCTAGACATTGCTAGATGGAGAACCAAAATTGAAAATTCCAAAAAATAATCATAACAGTATTATATATAATTATAATGAAATATGTGTCCAATGTATTTCATGTATTATTCTTTTTTTTAGATGATTATTATTACGCTACTCCAATTACCAAGGTCTCTGATGGGGAATTAAGTTCTGTGCATCCTGTTCATAGCCCACTTTTTGTTGGTGAGATCGAACTCTCAGATACTCCACTAAAAGGCAACAGATATTTGAATGTCCATTGTGATGTGTCAGTTTCTACTACAGAACCCTATGGTATGTTGTATATAATACTTTGTAACTATTGTGGAGGGAAATTTTCAAACACAAGTAAAAAAGTTTCAACACATTTGAATAAACCACGAATCACAAGCTTGTGCAATCTGCTGAGTAAAATCAACACTTTGTTGTTGGACCTGCTAGTATAATGCGTTTTGTTAAAATATAACCCGAATAATTCAGTTGTTTTATTCGAGTAAGTTAAAATATACCTTTTTAGCTCATATTTTTGGTCTTTCGGAAAATGTTGTTGGTGCTGTATTTAGACCCCTCCATGTATAGCAAGAAATATGTTTTTGCATGCACACGTATAAATATTGTGTTTTTTTATTCAACTCAATCATAGGTTTGAACATTGTTTTCAATTTAGACTTGCATATATATATATATATATTATGAAAAAATAGTGAATGTTTTTAAATCTTTAAAGATTATAGTTCTACATGTGTACTTTATTTTCAATGCAGATGATACCTTTGATGTTTGGGTACCAAATGTTACAGAAGAACAAACAACTTCTCCAGATCTTTCACCAAGAACTCCTGTTGTAAAATGCGTGACTGATGCAGCTATAGGTATGTTTTTTATTTCTTTTTATATTAAATTTCAAGTAATAATACAATCAGGAAAAGGACAAAACTGGGAATTGTTAGATTAGATGAATTACCTAAGACCAAATAAATATTTTTTTAGGATCAGTCACCTTGTGTTATGTTGATTTCAGAAGTTGACCTTTGTAACCCAGATATTGCTTCATAAGAAGTTCACATGTTAGAATGCTTATGTTTATGAATTAATAAACATGTATATAAACTGTATATATATCATGTATATTGTCTAAAAAGGAGACTATTTTATTTAAACATAATTGTAAAACCTTTGTATTGCATACCATTATATTTATTGATTAAATTTCAGTCATGAGCCAAGATGAATCACCATTTACTACAACTCTAAAGGAAGCTAACAGAGATGGTGGATCCTTTCAAGTTGTGATGGACAATTTAAATTTACATCAAAAGACCAGACATAAAACACTTGATAACAAGAACAAAATACACAACTTAGTTCATTCTATTGCTGTCCATTCTCGTGTGTCAGGATTGGATTTGGATTCAACCCATCCACAGGCTGATATATTATCCATCCCAAATGATGCATTCATCCCTGGAGACCAAGAGTACTTTGACCTGCATCAGGACTTCAAGACATTGATGAAGAGAACTCTTATTGAAAATGTACCATGCTTGGAAAACTTAAAGTATTTAGTGGAATACCATATCCAGCATCAATATTCAAAGCAGTCAGAAAAAAAGAGCAATGTTGTAAGTGATACAATATTTTTAAAAGATAATTTAACATACCTTTTAATATACATGTATAAACAACAATGATCTAATAGTCACAATGTACGTGTATATATATATGATCAATTTTATGAGAAAACAAAGTAAAAAATTATGCTGTTATTTTATAGAATAATTGATCATTTGATACATGATACTGTAGGCAAAACTAAAATTTATAAATACGTGTATATATTTATGCTTTGGTTCAAGCATTTATTACCTATGTTCTATAACGAAACAATATTTGTATGTTAATAACAAACTTCTTTTTTTTTTAAGATTCCTTTAGGCATTTTAGAGAAAGACGAGAACATCATGGAACAGATGATTGAGATAATGGAACACCTGCAACAGTATGTGCCAACAACAGAGAACGGTAAAATGATACCATTACTTCTTGGAGGAGATGCATTGAGTGTAGAAAGGGGTGATGGAGCACAGAGAGCCAGACAAGATGCAAGGACACCAGAGCAGAGGCTAGATGGATACGTTTGGAAAAGTGAGGACTGGCATGGCCACATAATATTATTACAGGTAAGAGCATACTTCTTTTCTTCAGATTGAAAATGTAGTCATAGTATTGAAATCTTTTACCAAGTACTTAGTATTGAAATCTTTTACTAAGTTTTAATTTTTTTTAAATTTTGTATGTCATTTTTTTTTAACATTAAATTTGATTAACAAGCAGAAATTAACTTTCTGTTAAATATGAGGGGCCTGATGGGTTATTTTCGTTCTTCGTGATCGGCGCATTTTCGCTATCGTGATCCATTTTTCTACAGATTAAACTCTTTTTATATTTTCGTGATCTGTGATCAGGTATATTTCTTTTCTGTGAATCGTGATTGACAAAAAAATCAACTCGTGAATCGTGATGAGACTCCCCCATCAGGCCCCTCAAATATGTGTTTATGAAATAATGCCATTCTTTACATACTTATTATAGCTTTGTGTAATTCTCATTATTACAGGAATCATTTAATATGCTGTTCAAAGGCTCATCATCTGGTGAAAGAGGAACACTGTTCCAGTTAAGGAATATGCTTGATAGACGTGGAGTAAAATCAGAGGTAATTTGATGAGTATTCAAAATATGCAAATTAAAGAAATATCGCCAGACACAATAGCCCAATAACATAGGAATGTAATAGTTTAAAGAGGACACTGTAAAACTCCCATATTACAACACTTGAATTGACACGTAGATATTACAGGGATAATTCTTGACTGACTGTTCTGACAGTCAATTATGTTATGATAAAAAGGAGATACAACAAAAATCTCTAACATTCCGGATGGCATTAATCTCATTTTTACAATTCTTATTATAACTTATATATATAATAGAAAAATATTATTATCACAATACTTTTTCTTTTAGTAAATCTTTTTTTTCTTTACCCAAACAGGTGACAAAAGCAGTGAATGATTGCAGAGAGTTTATGAGATTGACCACTCAAGGTTTTATACTCCTAGCTGCATTACAAGTCCTTGGAGTAGACAACTTGAATGAATTCGATAACCACGAAATAATCTTGCAACAGATGAACAAAAAGCAGAATTAATGGAACATATTGTTCAGACTATTGTTGATCGTTTCATTAAGACAGAACGGTTTACTCTAGATTGTGATGACATAACAGAAGACAACAATGAAACCAATAGAGTGCCATGCGGTTATCCTGGTTGTCCAAAATCTTACCTGTTGGATGGACTGTGTCGGCGCAACCATCGACAAACTTGTCAATATAAAGATTTAAATATATTACAGCCACATGAACCAGTCGCAAATGAACCAAAGAAGAAGACAAAGGAAAAATCTGCAGATTCCAAAACTGACTTTAAGTTTAATTACACATGTTGTGTGCTTCGGGATGGTTTGATGGACTGGTGTAGGGAAGACTCAGCCAAAGAGAATGATGGTGATCGCCTTTTTCGAATGTGGAAATTTGATATGCTTAGGTTTTCAAATTCAAACCATACAAAATACCGCCTACTGGCCTTTAAACTTCAAGCACAGATTATGGCTACATTACCTCCAAGGCTTGCCTTTGAACTGAAACATAATCGGTCAATTAATATCCATGGCGGAAAAGGTGGGAACGTACCAGGTGACCTGGCCTTGGAATTCTTCAACATGAGAGCCAAGGATGCTTTGCATGCGCTGCATGGAAATCTAACATCAACGTCCATAAAACGTGTTGGTAGAAGCCTTCAAGGATGCAACGACATCATGGATGCATATGTAAATGGTCTAGGAGAGTATTTTGGAAAGCCTTCAAATTCAAAACCATCTTTGAAAAAGGACATAAACATGATTGTAACACAACTTCAACCAGAGAAACTATTCAATGAAATTCCAGGACGTTATCACAAATCCTTTCAATATATTCCATTCGATCCACTTTCTGACCTGAAAGGGAAGACTTTTAACAAATGGCTAACAGAAAAGAAGGAAACATACGCCAAGATACAGAGACGGAAATCATATTATGTATGAAAAAAAGGTGCTAAACTGTGATAAATTGTTAATGGTGGCTTTAAAAAATGTTGTATAAATACATGTGTATACTTGATTAAGTTACTCCATTTTAATCATACATTTCATGTTCAATATCAGAAAGCTTTCTATTATGTTGTGTTTTTTTATTTATAACTTGTGCTTTTTGTTGTTTTAATGAGTTGAAGGCAGCCCATTAGTAGCATGTATAAAGTTTTTTTTATTCATTGTTATTTTGACCTCTAGATACTGATTCTTGGTTGTGTCTCTTAAAAGTATAAAAATATCATCGTCAGCTGTACATGTATTGCTTTGAAATGAGGCTGGTTTTATTTATAGTGCATTTTTTTTTGTATGTGTTGGTTTTATTTATGGTGCATTTTTTTTGTATGAAAACATGACTGGTACCTGCATGATAACCTTTTTACTTTCATGCATGTATTTCAATATTTTAAAGTTAAACATGTTTATTAGTCAGCCTAGTGCTAACCTTGAAAATGTAGATTTATGTGTAATTCAAAGAAAAACAGCCATCCTTCTAAAAAACTTATGTATTTATATGTCATGGATACTACCAATAGTGCATCACTTGATCATTTCTTCTTTAGTGCATAATTTATCATTTTCTCATTTACTAAGAAATATAAAATGAAAACATCTTCTGTGCAATAACAGTAGAAGTAATAATAAATGCAGTAATATGTTAGCATTTAATTTTTTACAACTGTCATGATTATTGGTGTTTTTTTTTTACATATATGTTATATGTAATTTAAAGTTTTTGAATGTTATTTTAATTATTATGAAGTGAATAGTGCAATGTTAAGAAAATTGTGATATTTGTGTGTGTTATTTTTAATCTTTGGTATACATGTATCTAGTAGAAACATTGACTGTCCATCAATCCTGGAGATCAACAATAATAGAACTTCATTTTTATGTTTTCATAGTGCGAAAAAAGTAATTGTTCACAAGTCATGTGCTTTATTTACTCTGTATGTATACTGTTTAAATTTCATTGTTTTTCATCTGTCAATTAAATTATTAAAAATTCAGCTTGGAAAAATTCAAGCAATAATAAACATGAAAAGCAGTCTTAATCATATTTTGTTACATTTTTTTGCCCAATTGATATGGTTTGCATCACTAGGTTAGATTGGTGTCTTTACAAGACTTTCCAGCTGTAGTTGTGAAGATTATTGGAAGCAAATGTGATGATTCACTTACATTTCCAGCTATGATTTTATCTTGCATATAAAAAAGAAGATGTGGTATGATTGCCAATGAGACAACTCTCCACAAGAGACCAAATGACACAGAAATTAGCAACCATAGGTCACTGTACAGCCTTCTACAATGAGCAAAGCCGATACCGCATAGTCAGCTATAAAAGGCTGAGTAATGACAATGTAAAACAATTCAAGCGAGAAAACTAAAGGCCTAATTTATGTACAAAAAATTAACGAAAAACAAATATGTAACACATAAACAAACAACAACCACTGAATTGCAGCCTTTTTTTAAACATATAGAGATGATATGATAGCCAAACAGACAACTATCCACCAGTGCAAATAAGGTTGATTTAAGCAACATAGTATAGGACACCTTACTACTATTTACAGTAAGCCAAACTCACAGCAGTCATCCATACAAAAATACATGTAGCTGATTTGTCTGAATATTTTGGCATTTTCTTCTCTATACTGGCTTTAATTTGTCATTACTGTAAATTCAGAAATTATTGCGTGCATTTATTATTGCGATTTTGTCATTTAAGACTAAAATGCGATTTCAATTTTTGCGATATTGAGAAAAATCCTGTTTAATTCATACAAAAAATTTCAAAATGAGAGTTTAAATCATTACGATTATAATCCTGTCGCATTTTTCGCAATAATAAAAACATCGCAATAATTTCTGAATTTACAGTACATGTATTGGTATTTATTAACATATCACTTTCATAATGATATTGATTACAGGATTGATATCAAGGACATGAGTCTCGGATCCTGCACAAAAGTTTTCAAATTACCAATAATAAACTGATGCATCTTCATTTTGTCTACAAGCAAAAGTCCCAAACTGATATTTCATTCTAAAAGAAAGAGATAGGTACACGAAGAAGTTAACATCCAAGGTTACTCATTTTAATGCACCAGATGTGCATATAAATTCATACATGTCCTGTGTCCTTAGTGACGCTAAAGATCAAAATATTAATCAGTCTAAGCAAACTGAAATCAAACTCTGAATTGCTGATACATTTGTACAAATCAAAAAGGTCAAAAAGTCTAGTCCAACCAGGAATAAAAGCGTCTTGGGACAGAAAAGTAGGAATTCTCATTGAACAACCAAGTATTATAGAAATTTAAACCTTTGTGCGTGAATATTTATTTGTTATTGCCAATTGAAACTACATGAAGACTAATTGAAACTTTCTTGTATCCCTGGTGCTTTCTACTGGAGAACTGTCGTACACAAGCATCGCACAAGTTGGCACTCCATGGCGAGTTGGGAGCAAGAATGTGAACTGGGTGTAGGGTATGAATGATTCGTTCATTGTTGAAGACCCAACATCAACTGTTAAGATGAAGAACAGGAAAAGCCCTGTTCATTGATAATTTTCTATGTTTTCTATGTATTGTGTGCAATTTTGTCCCATGTACATCTACTCCATATCCTTTCATTTACTATTGATTTTATTGCAAATCTCATTTCTGTGGCTATGGATCTTGTTACCCTTTAGTTTTACACCACGTTAATTGAAGCAAATTCTGTGAACCCTATTGGAGCATTGTATGGAGTGAATGGAGAGTTGTCTCATTGGCACTCATACCACATTTTCTTATATCTATGTTAGAGCACCCTAAAAATTTGTAGGGATTTCTTGTTGTTCCAATTTTATTTCTTTTTATTTTTTTGGTTGACATGTTTGTCTTATTGGTTTCTTTCCATTTTATTAATGGTGTTGACAAACAAATTTTTATCTTCCCCTTGGTATCTTCTGTGTATTTTTAGGAGACTCCTGTTTTTATTGGTGGAGGATAGGGTGGTGTTTCAGACTGCTACTGGTTGTACATGTATATTTGTTGTTGACAGCATATATTTTGGTTCTCGCTAAATAATTTCAACTTTTAAAGGTACAGGATGCTTTAATTCTTGATATTTAGAAAGGACACATGAATATAATAGAGGTCTATGTAGTTAATATTAGGTGTCTATTTTCGTTGTTGGTTTTTTTGTCTCATTGACATATTCATCTTAAGTGAAAGTATGAAATGTACTTTTGGTTCAGAGAATTTCATGACTGAAGATCCAAGATTATTCAAAGGTCAATCAGAACATCAAATATGTATGAACTCTGTTAGATAATTGTCTCAGTTGAAATCATACCACATCTCCTTATTTGTATATATAATTAAATATATACATGTAACAAAGAATAGATTTAAGGAAACTACATACAGTTTATTATAACACACGTTTGAATTTATAGACAATAAATTTAGGATTACAATAATATACAATTTAATGTCAGAAATCATTGTTCATTACAATATCAATGGTTTTTGTCAAATTTTTTTCGTACTCTAGCCAGTAAAATAAAACACTTTATAATACACATATGAAACAAACAAAATTTACATAAAAAAAATTAGCTACTGTCATTCCTAGAAAACTTTGAAGATAAATTTTATAGGGGAAAAAGATAATTAATTGCTTCAGAAAGTCTTTTACTGATTTGAAAAGCGACTATTAAACATTAACTAAATAACATGATTAACCTTTATTTTTATTTAGTTAAATGTGTTGATTAACTTGATCCTAAAAGAGTCATTGTTGACTGTAATACATAAGCATGTATATACACATGTACTGTTAAAATATTAATTTATTTAAATTTTTGTTAAATCATTATTTAAATTTACATGTGTATTTACAAATGTAACTGCACAAAAATTGCAATAGTTTTAAACATGTTATAGGTTTTCTATTTCTTCTATCAACAACAGTATGTCTTCAGCATAGTCATGTTTAGAAAGCCCCAATTCTATCACATCTTCAATACACATAATGGTATCAGAATGACGAACTATTTCCTCTATTAACTGGCAATCAAAGTCATGGATGTTGCTTGGATTGTCTTCACATAGAACACTTTGGTAGTCTTGCAAATTAAGTTTTAATAATTTCATTTGCTTACTAGTGAGATACCTTACAGCCAGTTCATCACACACAACAGATTCGCTTACATTTGCAAAGTCAACATTACACCTAGGTATGAAACAATTGTTACAATTGCACTGCTCTGAACACAAAGAGCAGCAAAAACACAGACCTTTTTCAAAGTTTGATGCCTCGCTTAATGTTCCCAAACTGAAATGGACATTTAGAACTTTACGAATACATCCTGAAGTGCGACAGAACTCTCTCATAGCATCAGTTGATCTGTCCTTAGCAATGTCTATACCGGAAAAGTACAACACACAGACACATTGTCTGCCGTCTCTTCCACCACGACCGCTTTCCTGCGAATATTGCTCCAAACTACGAGGGGCACCCCAGTGTACAATTTGTTCAACATCCGGTATGTCGACCCCCATACCAAAAGCCACAGTGGCGAATACAAGACGTAACTTACTGTCCTGTTTTGGGAATTCAGACAGCACTTGCTCTTTATTTTCTTCTGTTGTGGAGCGATGAAACATGGCAATTAGTCTACTATCAAAATTCAGAGTATCATCAATGTTGATGTAAAAATGTTCATACAAATTTGCACATGCCGCTATATTTCTACAATAAATGATTGTCTTCTTTGCATTTTCCTTGTTTTCTAGTATGTCTGCAAGGATCCAGTGAAGTTCATCTGTTTGTTTTCTTGATTTCTTGATCACATACGTAAGATTTTTCCTTTCAGGCAACATACATACGGTTTGTGTCTCTGATTGGCACATATCAAGGTGTTTAATAATCCTTCTTCTCATTTCTTTGGTTGCAGTGGCGGTCATTGCTATAAAAACTGTTTTGTCAGGAACAATGGAACGGAGGTGTGCAAGGTTCCCATATTCTGGTCTGAAATCATCACCCCTGAAAAAATATATACAAAAACCATAAATATTTGTTATGCAAATATAGATACTCATAATACAATGTTAAACAGTGCTTAATCATGTTAACCAAATCAGTAATGGACAGTATTTACTATGAAATAATGTTATTTCATGGGGGACATTATTAAATCCTACACATTATTAAATTGTTTTATTGTTACAGTGTAGCAAAAAAACAAATGATTAAAAGTATATGTTATAAATTTATACATACAACATAACATGTATCGTTTGAAATTTTTAGACTGTGTGGTACAGGTTTTGTTCATTTGCAAAAGGCCATCCAGTCTCTTATGGAGAGTTGTCTCATAGGCAATCATACTTCTTCCACATATTATTTTTTCATGCATGATCTTAGTCAAGGCTTAGATCAGCTGACAATGTTGTATAGTATAGACACACTAATAGTATCATTTTAATCAATAAGAAAACTTCATTTATTCTACAAAATTTATAATGGACAAGCTCCTAATTATTTACGAACACTAATACCACCTCCTGTATCAACTATTTCTGGATATAATCTTCGAATTAACCCTGACCTCATAGTACCATTTTGTAGATTAGAACTAACAACAAATTCATATTTTCCCAATACTATAAGGCAATGGAATAAAATCGATAGCGCAATTAGAAATGAAGATTCAATCTCCAAATTTAAGTATTCCCTACGAAAGAAATCACATCAATCTAAAGCCTCAAAATTCTTGTATGTTGGAGAACGTAAGGCAAACATTATATTAACAAGGCTTAGACATGCATGTTCAACTCTAAATTATGACCTTTTTAGATTCAATATAGTAAATTATTTTTAATGTCCACTTTATGCGCAAATCAGAACTCACCTTTTAGACAAACTACTTTTTGTTCCGTCTTTACGTCTTGGTACTTTACTAAATGGAAACGAAAATTTAACTCTTAGTCAAAATACATCCTCAATTAAAGAAGTCTTGCATTTTATTGGGAAAAGTGAACGGTTTGAC